TGTCATATTCGAGCTTTCCCTTGCATCGTTTTGGTGTAATTTTCGAGCTTTCCCTTGCATTGTTTTGGTGTAATTTTCGAGCTTTCCCTTGCATTGTTTTGGTGTAATTTTCAAGCTTTCCCCTTTCGTCGTTTTGATGTAAGAGGTTTCCTTTCTGTAAATAACCTTCAGTTATCATAGACCTGTCGAAAGCCAGGATTCAGTATGATTTGAGCTAGTTGGTACTTAACTGAAATTATTCAAAGGAGGCTTTTCGAAGTTCGTGTAAAAAACACCTTTCAAAAGGGCGCAATGAAAACATGTCCAGAAAATACACGATTCAACAAGAAGTCCTCATTAATCCAGTCTTTGTCAAACAATCTCTGGGGACATACATTTACGTGTCAAGATTAGGCGACAAATGTACCCATGTCGACAGACATCAGTATTTGAATACTGACAAGTAGCATTCTTTGTAATTATAGGATGTAACGCAAAACCCATGAATAGACAAAAAAAAGAACTGACTGAAGTAAATACGCGTGTATATTATACATGATAGTGGTGATGACATCAGTAACGAAATAGGCCGCCAGCTGCTAGTACCCGTTAGCATCAATATCCTAAAGTAAAATCGTTAATCATAGCCCAGTAACTGTCTGGGCTTGGCCTCGTCATGAACAGTAGGGAAATAAATCCAGCCTCAGTTACACAGTTAATATTTTGTTGTTGTTTGTTAAATATTTATAATGAATGGGCTTTCGCTACCACAAACTCAAAACGGGAATGATCTCTTCATTTCACGTTAATATACATTGAGAAAAATATGTCTGTCATTGAATATGGTCAACCAGTCCAACTCAAAAATGTCGAAAGATGATGAAATCGGCAAAACCTACTGAGTGTGAGTGTGTTAGGAAGCATAACCGATAGTCATACTGAATGTTTCTGAGTGAGAACACTCAGCCCGGGGTTATGATCGGTGAGTCATAATGAATGTGTGTGAGTGAGAACGCCTAGTCCGAGGTAATGATCGGCGAGTCATACTGAATGTGTGTGAGCGAGAACGCCTAGCCTGGGGTTGTGATCGGCTAGTCATACTGAATGTTATTGAGTGAGAACGCCTAGTCCGGGGTTATGATCGGTGTGCTATACTGGATCTTTGTGAGTGAGAACTCTCAGTCCGGGGTTATGATCGGTGAGTCATACTGAATGTTTGTGAGTGAGAACTCTCGGTCCGGGGTTATGATAGGTGAGTCATACTGAATGTTTGTGAGTGAGAACTCTCAGTTCGGGGTAATGATCGGTGAGTCATATGAATGTTTGTGAGTGAGAACTCTCAGTTCGGGGTAATGATCGGTGAGTCATATGAATGTTTGTGAGTGAGAACGCCTAGTCCAGGGTAATGATCGGCGAGTCATACTGAATGTTATTGAGTCACAATACACAGATCATTGAAATAGGTTCAGTAATTTCGGAGAAGACGAAAATGTTAACGGAGGCATGACGATGGACAAAATATAATAAGAATAGATATCAAACAAACTTCATGATATCACACAAACCACGTGATATCACACAAACCGCATGACATCACACAAAGATAGAATATTACGCGAATGACGAAATACCACACAAACCACGAAATACAACGGAATACAACATGGACGGGAAGGAATACCATAAAACGTCGGAAAATAACACAATTGACGACTGGATATCAGATGCCAGCAACGGAATTTCAAAATTTGAGCGACGGAACCCGCAAACACAGATGATGTTACACGGACGATGAGCTTAACCCCCAAAATAACAGCAAAGCACTATCATGTCAATAGAATTTGATTTGTCTTTCGTCCGTGTTCCGTCGCCCGTACGTATATAACTTTTTGGATCAGTGCAGTTTATCCTTAGACTGGCTTTTATTTGCTATCGTCTTTTCTTGAAACGCACTAGTCATTGAATCTTTTTTGAAATTTAAATTATAAATTTCCCTCGGCTTCTGTTTTTACCTGTCAATGGAGGCCCATGTTCTTCACAGTTGAATCTCGATTCACGTTTTTTTTTAATCAGATGGACAGATTTTTGGGTGGATCGATTATGGTTTGAGGGAAATTTCCCATAGTTTAAAGACACCTCTAGTGATCATCAAAGGGAATGCACACGCTGTATGCTATCGAGATTAGATACGAGGCCTCATGTTTTGCCTTTCATTATAAGGCGCCATTTGACCATTCAGCATGACAGGCTACAAGTTGTAAGAGTCTGTAGGGACTTTCTTGCAACCCAGCTTATCGTTCCTATTGAATGGCTTCCATATAGCCCCGATTTATCCCCAATAATAATATTTTACTAAACCGTAAAATTGAAGTCGCGTTTTCTTTTCCTCTTAGTTTATACCTTCTCTCGCCATCAGTTTAGACATAGAAAAAACATGGCTTACAGGCAACCATCCTTGAGTTTCTTTCTTTTTATTGTGATCGTTTTTTCGTTAAAAGTTCATATCTAGATTAGTCCTAGTCTCTAGTTGATTTTCGATGATGAGACAGTAGAAAAAAGAAGGGAAGAAATTGATCAGGTAAAAAAATCGAAATTAAATCTTTCGGTGGTTTGAATGCACCCAGGTCTGTCTGGTATTCTTTTTCCCCGTCGATAGCTCAAGGGAAGTAACTCGTGCTTTCTCAACACGCGTGAAGTTCGAAGAATACGGACCAACAGAGTGTGAAAAATCCTTGATGTTAGATGACAACATCTCTTGAGAACCGAGGAAATAAACAAATGTCTCCGGACAATGGCCCTAATTAGCCGTATAGAAGAATTACATTCATGGTGAATATTACTCAGGAGACACAATCCTGTACAATTGTCGGGATCTGAACTTCTGAACCGTCAGTGATAATTTAATATGTAGAAAGTCATTCCATAGACGACAATATCAGCAAGGAGTCTGAGATATTAACATGCCCATATATGGTCAATTTCAAGGTCGGATAACCTCGGCGATAAAAATATCAGAAAAATAAGACATATGTCGCATATATGATACAAAAAGGACGACATGAATACGGACGAGGGAATATCACAGAAACGGTTGATGGGGTATTACGCGGACGACGAGACATCACACGAAATGACGGGATACAACACGGACGACGAAGGATCACAGAAACGATTGATGGGGTATTACACGGACGACGAGACATCACACGAAATGACGGGATACAACATGGACGACGAAAGATCACAAATTACAATATGGACGATAGAATGTTACATGCGAACAACGGAATTTCAAAATTTGAGCGATGGAATCCTCAAAACGCAGACGAAGTTGTTTAAATCGACAATGAGCTTAACACTCAAAATAATAAGACACCATCATCTCAACAGCATCCGTTTCGCCCTTCGTCCGTGTTCCGTCGCCGTTTTCGTAAAATTTTGGTTTCCTGATGATAACTCCAAAAAGGATTGATGGATTTGGTTGACCTTCAAACAATATTAGCTGATGAGGTAGTACAGAGTGGAATTATATTTGAGGTCAAATGGTCAACTACGAAGGTCAATGTTACAAAAATAGATTTTCATCATCCTATTTAGCTTCTAATGATAACTTGTGACAGGGTCGACCGATTGTAATGAAACTTGATACAGTGTAATACTATTTGAAAATATGTAAGGTGGGATGGAAAGTGGGATGGAAAGTAGGGGTCAAAAGGTCAAATGCGAAGGCTGTGAAGGTCATTTCCACAATAGACATTTATCACCATTTTATTGCAAAGCTTTTCAGAATAACACCAGTAGTCAACTGGCTAATGTTCAAGGTCACTGTTTCAAAAGGATAATATCAAATTTGACATCTTTTCATGTGTATACTGACAATGTATCAAAATTTTAAAGATCATACACAACGAAAGCTTCCTTTCTGATATGTTGTTTTAAAATAATCACTGTTGATTTAGGGATGACAACCTTGATTAAAACTCGTACAGTATTAAGCATAAGGGAGTGTTATATAAAGATTTTTCAATTTTCCTCCTTCCTGTCTTTTGTTTGGTGGGGGGTTAAGACTTTCTATTGTTAAAATGAGACATCTCTTCATTGTTATCAACCTCTATGTTGCTTAGGAAATTCAATTAACGACAGGGGACGAGTGTTGCATACAACACTGAGTGTAAGCTTGTTTATCAAATTTTCTTAGTTATATAGGTTCTGTATCTGTCCATTGTCAGCTTGAAATATAACTTGTTACACGACCTTCATGACAGACCTAAAAGTAACTTGTCGCATAACTTTCATGGTAGACCTAAATTTTACTGCACATGACCTTCATGGTAGACCTAAATTTTACTTGTCACATGACTTCATTACAATGCTTAATTTCACTTGTTACACGACCTTTATGGCATATCTAAATTTAACTTGTTACACCATCTTCATTACAGTTCTAAATTTAAATTGGTATCATTTGGAGATCTAGAAGCAAACAACACATATCCTTTGAAAAATACCAAAATACAAGCCACATTCATAAAATATATTTGCAATTAACGAAGTCACTGTTAAATATCCCTGATCTATTGACAATGAAGACACTGTTAAATATCACTGATCTATTGACAATGAAGACACTGTTAAATATCCCTGATCTACTGACAATGGAGACACTGTTAAATATCCTTGATCTGTTGACAATCAATATCTAATTTCTTTCACTGACAGTGTCTATCAATTCCTTATATAATTTCCTCAATTACATTGAAAATGTCAAACAGAATTTATTTTCAAAGTGATGATGTCCATCAATGATGATGATGATGATGTTACATATCCTTATGTATGTATATTATTTGAGTGTGAAAGTGAGTGTGTATGCTGTCTGATCCTTATGTAATGTACAAAATAACTTGAAAAAATCATAAAAAATATATAAGCCCCATTAATTATGACAAGATCCTTCTCTGCTGAAATATAATTGTGTGTCTATGTTAAATATATTGATAGCAATATTATAACCAGTGTCATATTTTAACAGATGATTTATTTACTTATTAACAGCAGTTGAATCATGCTAATGTTCACCATTGTAATACAAGTGTTCATATTTCAATATACTGTAGTACTCAAATAAACAAAATACTTTTTCTTCAAAGTTCTCAGTTTAATCTTAAACTGGTCAAATCCAAAATAAAATTCATAATTCTCAATATATTTATTAAGACCTTTGTTTCTTTTTCTCCTTTTTGGCAATTTTTTCAATACTTTTATTTTTCTTTCCTTGTGTCTTTTTTCTTTTCAATTCACTTATATCGTCCTCTAACAATTCACCTTTCCTTTTTGTTCTTGTTTGCACTACTTCCATTTTTTCCCACATATTTTCATCCTCTTCCTCAAATTCTACGCCCTCCTCTTCATTCCCAACCATATTTGACACTTTGTCCACATTCCCGATATCCTTCTTCTCTTCACTTTCCCATTTCCTACTAAACAAAAGACAGTTCAGTTTGGATTTTAAATATACTTTGTGTAGCAGTTCACGAGTTTCCAAGTCATGTACACGAAGAAATCTGTCCAGCCCACATGATGCCACAAGAGGTTGACTTTCGTGACACTGAATACAACGAATTCCACCAGCAAAGCCTTTATATTGCTGTACCATGGCTCCCTTGCGGAGGTCAATAAGTGCCATTTGCCCATGTGTGTTTCCGACAATCACTTTGTTATCTTGGTTGCCCCATGTTGACAAGGCTGTGATAGGATATTCATCATATGGAAAGTCTAACACTGGCCTTCGTTGTGCTTTCGGGTCATAAACCCGAATCTGGTGATGACCAGTCGTGGTTACTAATTTCTCGCTCTGGGGAAGAAACCGAGTTTGGATAACCCAAACTGGGACACGAAGATTTAACCAGTCATTTTTGACATTTTTTGCCTGGAATGTAGGCTTTTCTGGTGCTTCAAGATTCCATATTTTTAGTTCATTTTCCTTTCCCCCAGTTGCCAACACATGTGGCATTGCATGATTTTGAGTCATGCAATACAAGTCCTTCCCTGCTTGTATTTCCGTGAAATCCTCGACATCTTTCCATAGTCTCACAACTCCTGTACTAGATGCAGTTACAAAATTGCCCTCGACCTTTAACAACTCCCTTAACCTTCCCTCGTCAATATGGAAATCCTTTTCCTCTAAAAATTCCTTCTTATTTGTGTCATATGTTTTAACTTTTTGGCATTTTAATCCTAAACACATCGTAGTCTGATCATCATTTCCCCAGCAAAGAGCACTTATTTCGTTTTCCTTTTTCGCTTCTTCGATTGTGTTGATATTTTCCCATCGTGATTTCGGAACACTGACTCCTTTCAATAAACCAATTTCTGAAGCAACGAACACGTTGTGTATGGGCGCAGCCATGTTTGAGGTTTGTCTTAAAAGTCAAGGTCGTTTCCAATTTTAACCAATCAGAGATCTTGTAATAATATTCTGCGGAGCTATGTTTGGCGGCAAGATCGGAAGAAGAAAAACAACATGAACTTTAAAACATTTTGAAAGTTTGTTATACCACAAAAAATGCTGTTTGATTGCTTTTGATTCATTTAGATATGGCCGATAAAGATTGTGTTTTTATATCAGAACTTCTTCATATATGTAAACATGACGAAGATACGATTTCGGTATAGCGATAAGCCGTGATTAACTTCAGATTATTAGGTTTTGCTGGAGGAAGAATGAAAAAACCATCCAACAGCAAAGACAGCAGAAACAGTACGTATGCTAGATTTACACAAGATGTAGATTATCAAAAAGGACACTTATAGTCCAGTTCACTCGTGCTCCGCAAATACGACTACATTGAATTTTATGGTGTGCAGTTGTTTCTGTACCCGGTCGTTTCTGTACTTAAAAAGATGTTTCGTTACTTACAAAAAGTCGTTTCGGTAATAAATTTTCTTTTTGTATTTTCATTTTTTAGCATAGATATATTATTCTTTCTATGAAAGTAAAATTAATTATTGTAATATATTTTTTACTTACATATGGTGTAAATAAACACAGCATATCGCTCTGAGAAATGAAAAGATTTGAGGAGAGAAAACATGTAAATGGTTAGTTGATATTGCTTCTTCAGACACATCAGTTACAGCTGTACTATATGCCATCAAGTTGAAAGAATTAATGAAAGTTACAATACATTCTCTCAAATTACATTAGTTTTGGTACATTTGAAAGTCGTTTGGGTACTTCTAGAATTCGTTTCGGTATTTTGGCACCACTTTTTGCTAACTACGCGTCTAAAGTATCTCTTAATGTAGGGTTATTTTTGGTTTGGTATAATTTTATTCAGTTTGTTTTGATATTGTCACATCTTTCTCACATAAAATGAGTTTTTTCTCGTCATTTCATTTCTTTTCATTGCTATTTATAAATTTATATCCAGTGGGAATTTGGAATAGATTGAAAAACACACATAATGCTTCATAATATATTTATATATATACATATATGTAAATGCAAAGTCATCAATTTAGGTAGCCTTACATCAATGTTTTAATGAATTAGTGCCTCTTGTAAGGTATTCAATTGACCTCTGACATTTGGATTTCCTAACTTTAATACCTTAGCCCATATTGACTTTGCAGCAATTTTGTGTGCAGAGTAAGCAAGGTCTAAGACTTGCTGTATGTCCTTTTTATACAGTCACACTACTGTTGCACAACAGTAACAAAGGAAGGAAAAACTATTTGTATTGGTATGTTAACATTTTTTGCTCAGCATTTTGTGCTTTTACATTTTACATTTTGAATTGTTGTATTTTTATTTATGTCTTCACAGAAAGTGCTTGTCCCCGAGGTAAGAGGAAGCTTGAGTATAATGATAACAAACAGCCCAAGTTACCATTGGCCGGCAAACTTATATACCTTGATGTCAAAGATGTTCGACTTACTAAGAAATTGGAAACTGACTTAAAGCGACTTGGCTCGGTAAGTTAAAATATGTTCAAGAAGCCTAGATTGGATATATACTTCATTGTCCAAATTATGATGCTCCCTGAAAATGTTTGCGGGGAGCATATAGTTGCCATTTTGTCTTTCTGCCCATTCTTTCGTGTTCTTTCACTTATAATTAAAACAGAAAAAAAGGCAAAAAAATACAGGAAATAACCCTAGTAAAAACACATGCATGTTGACAGATTTCAAAATAGTTTTTAAAAACAAAACCAGCATACACATAGCATGGTACTTGAGAAAAGCATAATATATTTCTCTTATTTTTTTTTTCAATCAAGCACTTAAATGATTTTTTGATTCTGTATTGTAATGAAGAGGACTTATTAAATTCTGGCTTTTTACCCCAAATTTTCATGGTGTTTTATTCATTAGAATTATTTTCTTGTTTCATTACTAGTCTGTAGAAAAGTTTTTCGTCAAAGAAATCAATTACCTCATCACAAGTCATCCAAGACCAAAACAGAAAAATGAAGACAAACTTCAATCCGCTGATAGTCCTGCAGGTGTTTCAACCCCAAGCCCCTTTAACTGTGGCCCTTCACCATCACCAGGAGCAGTGGAAACCAAAGCACCCCAGTCGGTGGGTATTCTTTAAGTCTTAATAAACGGATGAGCTGGAAAAAGTTTTCCTAAAGTTTGATTTTGTTACCATTTTTATACACCCATTTTTTCATGGTTTGGGTTTGTAATGTTACTCTTTTTCAACTTCCAATCATGATCTTATTTCTGCTCTTTGACATATTAATTGAACTTTAATTTGGTATGTAGTGGTATGCGATAGCAAGATTTTATGATGGTTTTTTCTTGTGTGTGAATGGAAACAAAAGTCTGTGTATGTTTTTATTTATTTATTGTTTTGTTTAGGTTACCAGGGGTAAAGCAATACTGCAGAAGGCACAATTACAGAAAAAGGTATACATAAATATAGTTCTCAGTTCTTAAAAAAAAAAATGGAATCATGTTCATTTTCAAATTTCTTTTGTTTATCTTTGTCTTTATGACAAATTTCAAGAGAACAGTATTGTACCTTTTAAGGTAGTCATTCTTGTATAAACAAATTTTAGTGACATATTGTAAATACAGTTACTTTTGTTGGGAAATATTTTCCTGGAACATTAATGTGATCACAAAATTTTAATTCCTAAAATAATGAGACATGTATTAGATGCCCCTTTACGTCCAGATCACAAAGTTTCATTTGTTGAAATATTATTTGGTTGTTTTAAAGGAAAATCATGAAAATTTGAAGAATTAAAAAGCTTCTTAGTATTGATCTATTGTACATAACAAATGTTTTGTAATTTGAAATGGGCTGTTGTGTTCATGATGCTGTACATGGCCAATTTAAGGCAACTATTCGTAGAAATCGAGTTCCTCCTTTTCTCAATCACCACCTGAGTATGAATATATGATGTCTAAGTGGAATGTTCCATTAGCATTGATAATTCTGATTAACACACATGAGCAGAGTATTTTTCATTTTTATAAGATTAAGTGTTAAATTTGTATACAGAATATTGCCAGAACAATGATATATGAGTTTGAACATTTACAGACCAGCAGTATCATTGAAAATGCTGAAAAGTGGAAGGTCAAGATAGTTTCAGTCGAAGGTATGTTAAGTTATGAATGAACGTAAATAGCATAGCAAATAAGTCTTGAAGTCTGGTGAAATATTTTGAAATAGGTATTCTTAACTTGTCATGTGACTTTTGGCTTTCTTTTGTGTTGCATACATATAAAAGTTTGTTTTTAAATCATTACTCTCAAGTCAAGATATTTTGTATCCCTCCTCTTAGAAATATTTGAACTAGTTGTTTTGTGACATGATCTATCAAATTTACCAACTGTTTACAGTTCAACATAAAGTCTTACTGAAAAATTGGAACATTGATATAAATATATATCACTTTATTCTTATTTTTGCAGCCGCCCTCAAGTGGATTTTGAAAGAACTAGCTAAACTACCCCCTGACAGTTCCAAGGTTTGTATATCAAATATCTAAATATTATTTCAGTTCAATTTCTACATGTTGCTGTATTGCCAGCCATACACAATCCTAAAAGGAACTTTTTTTAAAAATTGTTTTTCAACAGCAGCAAGTTCAGATAAGTTAACAAAATATGTAGATATTACCATTTTAGAAGGTATTCTAACACTAGATATCTAGAATAAATACATCAATCGTAACAAACAAGTTTTCTCACATTCATCGATAAGGTCTGTTGGTTTCATCTGAATATTGGATCACATCAGAACAACTTGGTTATGGAAATTTCTCCCTCATGATGTACTAAAATTATGGATAAGTTTGCGCCATGATTTAACACAATAGATTATTGTTAACAAACCTGATAACGCAACACTGTTATAATAATTACAACTAAAAGGTAAAATACAAAGTTAATGATGAGTTATTAAGTTACTTTTAACAGTTCATATTTCAGTATGGTCTCTCATCTAGACATATATCAGTAGTGGATTCTGATATAAATCCAGAGTTTGTATAGTTCACTGTACTTTTGGTCTCTGATTCAAATTACATGTATAGTAATAAATCTATTGTGTTTTTATTAATTTTCATATTATTTACAGGGCAACCAATCTGAGAAAACCAGAGGATGTAAAGGTAAAATTCATTGGACAAAGCAACAAAAATATAGAATAAAACAAATATTAAAAAATAATCATATTGTTAAGAGATGAATGATAGAACGTACAAAATTTGCTGATGAAAAATTAAAGCTTAGTTGGCTGCAATGCTTTTTTATGACAATCCGAGTCCTTACAGTCGTTATTACTATTATTATTTTCATTGATTGGAAAGATTGAGTAGAACTTTTGTTTGTTAGTTAGTTTTGTTTTTTTGGTTTTTTTTTTGTTTTTTTTTTTGTCATTTCTTCTGTTGATCTTCATTTATACATCAACATTTATCAGAATTGGATTTATCACCATCAATTCTACTTTTTACTTTTCTACAATAAATTTATTTTATTTGTTTATTTAGCAGTGTCTGTGTATGCTGAAGCAGCCTGTTATGTCCTAACATAACTTATTTTCTTATTTGTAGTAAAGAGACTTCAATCACCAATGCTAAAATTTGAATCCAACACAAAACAATACCGACCTATTCATGGTAGTCTTGCCAACTGGCCCTTTGCCAATGTTGATACTCCGAAAGGGACATGTCCCTTTGATGGAACAACAGTGGGACGCGGAGAACGATCCCGGGAGGAGCGTGGGGACAGGATCGGACTGGCACAGCCAATGGACAACAACATGCCCGCTAGTCCAGCAGGAATGGCTGGCGAGGATATGAACACTGGCAGCAACAAAACACCAAGAGTAGAACCTCCAGGGTAGGTCACTGTACAGTAGTTTAGTTCTGAGACAGACACTAGAGAATAGAGACTCTAGTATAAGTCATTGCCAAGTGCATTTTGGGGCCCTTATTGCCGTTTTCCTTAGAAGTGGTATTTTGCATTGGGTACCCAGGCAGATCGAGAGCCATGAAGTGGTTTAGACCCAGGACACGGAGAAGAGGCCCAAGGGTCACACTGTAAAGTGGTTTAGTCTGAGAATGAGTTATCCTGATTAATATCTGTTGAAACTTGATTTCTCTAAGGCCACAGAGAAATGGTCGGTTTCAATTGTGTAAATTAAATCCAAATTCTGAAGTCTTTAGTCTAAGAAATATTAATTACTTACAGGTTAGATTTATATAATGGTGTATATTCCAGGAAAAGTCGTCCATCAGAGAATCAGGCTGGTGGACCAAGTGGAATTAAGGTAGCAACTGCTGGGGAACTAAGGAGGCGCAAGGAACAGAAAAGAATCCAGGAACGAAAGAAAGGATACTGTGAATGTTGTCAAGTCAAATACGACGACCTGGATAAGGTAAATTAAAGAACTAGCTTGTGGAACATGTACCAGGTGAATTTCTTAGCATTCTCGAACAACAAGGCAAAGTTTTGATCTGAACTAGCTTGTGGAACATCTACCAGGTGAATTTCTTAGCTTTCTCTAACAACAAGGCAAAGTATTGATCTGAACTAGCTTGTGGAACATGTACCAGGTGAATTTCTTAGCTTTCTCTAACAACAAGGCAGACTATTGGTCTGAACTAGCTTGTGGAACATGTACCAGGTGAATTTCTTAGCTTTCTCTAACAACAAGGCAAAGTTTTGATCTGAACTAGCTTGTGGAACATGTACCAGGTGAATTTCTTAGCTTTCTCTAACAACAAGGCAAAGTATTGGTCTGAACTGGCTTGTGGAACATATACCAGGTGAATTTCTTAGCTTTCTCTAACAACAAGGCAAAGTTTTGATCTGAACTAGCTTGTGGAACATGTACCAGGTGAATTTTCTAGCTTACTTTCTTTAACAATAAGGCAAAGTATTGATCTTCTGACCATACTCTCATATTGTTGCAGCAGAGCAAACTATGGTTTTACTTATTCTTCAGTGTCAACGTCAACTTCAAGAATTCACTCCTCTGATGTTTGACAGGAAGTAGGACATAATTTAATACAAAAATTATATTATTTTGGACTTTTGTGTATTGATTGACTTCTTTAATCACTCATGGATGCTGCTTTCTGCATATCTTTTGAAGGTTTGGTGGGATTTTTTTAAAAACTTGGTTGGTAAACTTGTTACCTTAATCCCTTGTCAAATACATAGTCAAATAAAAATTAAATAATTTAAAAAAAAAACTGGTAATGGTACATTCCATGCATATTTAATGAGGCTGCTGTGCACAAAATACAAATTCTTACCAAAGTCAGGGACTTAGTGCAGGACAATGATTTACCATCATTGATTTGTCATTTCATTGAACAATGACAAAGTATATGTTTGGTCTTTAACCAGGCAAGTGTGTATTGCCAGAAAGATTTTGTGATTTTCTAACTTTAAAGAGTAAACTCAGGAGATGCAAGACAACATTCTGCAGAATCCTTTTCCTGTTAAAAATGCTGCTGTATTAGTTGAATAGACTGATTGAAAAAGATTGACCAATTTGTAGCATTGTTGATCTAAAAGAAGTGTTGTATAAAGCAGAGATAAAACTTATCACAAACATGCTACAAGGTTAAGATCAGAGATCTGCCCTCACCAGCTTGGAACTTTTAAGTCCCATATCATTGCTCCAAACATCATTGTCATGCATACATCTATGAATGTTGCTTTTTAACATTCATGATCCTTAGAGTCTGGAAATCAGGAGCCTTAGATCATTTGTAATGTGTTTGTATGTATCTACCAAAATATTTTAATGTATACTTTTTGTGTTTTTCTTCCATAGCACGTGTTCCAGGAACAACATCGGGCCTTTATCCGAGATAAAAAGAACTATGACAACTTGGATCACTTGATTCTCACTGGCCCTAGTACTGCCCGATTTCTACAGAGAGTGCTGCTGAGACACTGTACCAAGCAGCATACCGCAGACACCAATATTAGGTATATCAATCTAAACCAATCTACTCAGCATTGAAATCTTTCTCTGCTTCCTTTTCTGGACACTTTTTGATATGTTTTATTTTGTTAGGATTCATTGATAGGTAAATTATTTTTTCATCAAAATAACATCAAGATTTAACTGCATATTATTAAAATGTGAACAATCATTTTTGATTTTAAAAACTAATCAATAATTTGCCTTCAATATATATACCCAGATTTTTCTGACAATAAGCCATGCCTTGTAATAAGCTCACCGCATATTATTAAAATGTGAACTATCATTTTTGTTTTTAAAAACTCCAATAATTTGCCTTCAATATATATACTCAGATTTTTCTGACAATAAGCCATGCCTTGTAATAAGCTCACCGTATTTATGTACGTTTTGATGAAATAGAATTGAATGGAAGATTTCCTTTTTTTCAGTGAGTCAGATGAAGAAGTGGTATTGATAACCCCAGGAAAGTCAGCTGCGAAGGCTGCAGCTAAAGATAAAAAGGGATTGCAGCCACCAGAAAAATGTCAGCGAAATATCGCCGCAATGGACTGCAGTTCACAGGAGTTAAATGAGTGTAGGGAAAAAAGGAAAAGCCCTAGAAACTCCAAAACAAAATTGCCAGAAGGACCAGCTTCTCTGTCAAAAAGTGATCAGAAAATGTTGAAAGATAAACCTGAAAAAAATAAGTCTAAAGGAGACACAAATAAATCTGTCAAGGAGGAAGAGGAATGTGTACTGAAGGACAAGGAATCAAAAAATAAATCTATAGGTGTCAGTCCAAAAGTATCGTTTCATTCTGCCAAACATTCTCATCATATTGTCCCAGATTTAGCAAAATCAAGCAAGAAAATAGACTGTTCTCCTGAAAAAAGAAGCTGTACTAGTGATGGATTAGACCTGAAGAATCATGTGGTGCCTGTGAGGACCAAAAACTGTCACGGTGTCTACCCAAACATGTCCCCAAGTCGTGTCTCTTGGGCACGTCGTCACTCTATATCTGCTGATGAATATTTTCCGAGTAAGTCAGCAAAATTAGACAAACCTGCTTGTGCAAGGGTGTTAGACAGTTCAAATGTAGCTAAGAAAAACATAAATGAGGACATTCAAATGCAGGAAAGGCAGATAAGTAAGGGACAAAATAGCAAATTATCTGATATTGATATACCTCTACCTGGAGATCAGATACGAGTGCTACGCGAAACAAGATCACGATCAAAGCAAGGTCAAATGAGTTCACAAACTCAAGAATCATCTCCAAGAGTTTCTCAAAATACAGAGAACACAACTAAACTCAAATATGATGAGGTGGATGGTGATTCTCCTTTATTGACATTTTCCAGGAAAGCAACTTCTCTTGTTGAATTACAAATTTCACCCATTAAACCCCATTTCAAATCTACCGTAAAATCTATGGACACTCAATCTTCTCCTAGGAAAGGGAGACTGTCAAGATCATTAACAAAAACAGTAGCAGCAGTTGAGAGTGAGAATAAGAACAGTGCTTCAAATATTCAAGAGAAGTGTAACTACTCTCAGGACACTGCCACAATTGGGAGTGCTTCACCGAGTAAAGATACAAAATGTAAACCAAAGCTTCATTGCAGTCAAATTGTAGAAAGTGTAACTTCTAGAACTCGAAGCCAATCACCACTTAAAGATAAGAACTGGCAAAGTAAGGCTATGATTGATTCCAGTCAAACTATGGACTCCGCCATTACTTGTACTGTAAGTCGGTCACCAGTGAAAGATACAAACTGTCACATTAAGGCCAAGTGTGAACAAAGTCAAATCAAAGTATCAGTCACTGCTAGAACTAGGAGTCACTCTCCATTCAGGGATACAATATGTGAGGATGAAGTTAAGCACAACGCCAGCCAGATCAAGGACTCCACTATATCAAAACTTAAGAGCCAGTCACTAGAACAGGAGATCTCTCCAGAAAAGATTAATCCAGGTAAAATTGATAACTCTACCTCTGCTAGAACTAGGTCACCAGGAAAGAAAAGGAAAATTAGTCGAAGTAAGGTAAAGTGTGATGACACGAATGAAGGAGCTTCAATAGATATCAACACAAAGTTACAATCTCCAGAGAAACAAAAGATTACGGATGAAAAATCTGTTAAACTGCTGAATTCACCAAGAACTCGAAGTAAAATGACAACACCAAATGAAGAAAAATGCCATGACAATTCCCTCCATTCAGTAAATGTGAATTGTACCATAGGAAGACAAGCTAAAAATCATTCAATATTTGAAAAAAATATATCTGTTGACACTGAACCTGTGTCACCGCGTAAACGCCTGCGAAAGGGAGAATCTGATTCTGCCAAACTTTCTGCAGCCATGATGTCAACTTCAGCAAAACTTGATTGTACATCACCTTCTTTAAAGAATTCAAAGCTAAAGTTAAAAACAAGTATAGGAGTTAGAATGGATCAGAAACAAAAAAACGGGGACACAAAGACTGACAGTAAATCTGAACAGGACAAAATCGAATCATCCACAAAAAATAAAAGTTTGGCTGATCTGGCTGCTGTAAACACTGATCCAGTCATGTGCCCAGCAGTTCTAGCTGAATCTATGGAGGAAGGTTTTTACATAAATTGTATGGAGATGGTGAAGAAAAGATCCCAGATGCGACGAGAGGCACAGAAATTAAGAAGTGTAGAAAGTCCTCTCAGTAGCAGTAGTGTTGCATCAAGATTAGACGGTACGCCGCGTAAAAGGATAACCGTGACACTTTCTCCATGTAAGTCAGGTAAATCTGCTTCTAGTGATGGACAGCAGAGGCAGAATATCAGGTCAGATACAAATGTTCAACCTAACACCACTGTAAACTCGCCAGGTGAAATTCAGGGTCAAATTAAGTCTGTCAATAAAACAACATTGTTGTCAGCAACAAATACACAAAGTGCTAAAATATTTGGTGTTAAGAAAAAGTCTGAGTTGCATATTTCATCAGGAAGACATACTCCAGGTCAAGGAGATAATCAAAATGTAGCTCAGTCTTCAAAGGGCAGTGAAGTAAGGCGACAGCAGAGAGCACTTGATAAGGCTAGAGAATGCCAGGAGATGGAACGGAGTCCTTCCCCACTTTTTAATAGGTCACCAAAATATAACAAAAGCAGAAAATCTTTTGAAAAAGATCTCAGGAAAACGTCAAAGTCTAGGGCAAAGAAGTCAGTGGTGTATGATCCTTATGATATTGGGAATCTTTCTCCACTCAAACCTGAACAAGTTGTTCTCAACAGCCCCAGAAGTGGATACAGTGGTGAAACATCACGGTCAAAAAAGAAAAATCGAAATTGGAGACCACCTCAGAAACATTCTTCAGAAAGAAAATCATCAAGCACCAAAAAACTTCAAAAGCTTAAGCTTCCTGATCCAACAAGTAGCCAGGGAGAAGATCTAGAAACTAAAAAACTCAATGTATTAGTTTCAGATTCCGACGTTAATGAAAAAAATTCAAGCAAGGGCAAAATGACAAGTATAAATTCATTTGAACATAGACAAGAAGTTTCTAAAGACCAGCTGTCAAGTATGCAAAGAAAGCGGGCTAGACATAAACTGGAATTAAATAGTAACTGTAAACAAGGTAAAAATATGTCTTCTGTTGTGTCGGCAGAAAAAATACCTGTACAAAAGCAAAGTGGCCATGCTGATAGTGGTGAAGGAACATTTATAGCAATCAAGAAATTAGAATTATGTGATCAGACCTTCATGGAACACAAAGATGAGGAACTACTGTCACAAAAAGAAAAAAGGTCTTGTGGTACTAAACCTAGTCAAAAGGTGACTGGAAGTTCTTCAAAACACAGAAAGAGAAAAGACAGCTTTAGTGATTCCAAAGTTGGATCCAGTAAAGATAAAAGTGATAAAGGACATTCTAAAATAGGTGAAGGCTCTTTGAAGTTTCAAATAGCAACCGGTGAAACGTCGCCAAAGGCAAGAACAGTCAAATTAAACAAGAGCTGGTCCTTGCTTAGTGACCGCAGTATGGCTAAAATGCTACAGAGTGAGGAGGAAGACAATTCTTTTGAAGGATTTCAGCCAGAACATGCAACAGGTGGAACTCTATTGGGCAGTGAAATGTCCTATGTGGAAACTACAGAGGTGGAATTAGAGGGAAACTCAGACCATGAATGGCTTTTGGATCATGACCAGGAGGATGAGGGGGAGGAGGAAGAAAATTTAAAAAACAAGAATGATTTCATCAACTTTGTAAACTGTACGTTCACTTCACCTGGTAAGCACACAGACTCGTCTTGGGATGAAACATTTGATAATTACATTGACATCCAACTGAACAGGTCAAAACCCAGTGGGGCTAATAACAGTTTTGATATTGTTCCTGAGAACTGCAGTCCAAGAATATTTGGTTCTCCAAGGCGACGACAGACAGGACTCACCCCAAACAAAAGGAAAAGTGATTTTGCTGAATTGTCAGATCTGCCAAAAGAGTATGTCGAGTATAATCATACCCCAAAAAGGAGAAAATTTCACAAGAGAAAGGCAGCACACGATGTGGAAGAACCTTATGTTGAGCAAGTGGATGAAGACATTGAGTTTAATTACTGTAGCCCTCAGAAACTAAAGGAAGTCTACAGCCCAAGGCATAAGCTAGGTACAGAGATTGTGCTTTCATCAAGTCCACTTAAGTGTCGGGGTAGTCTTTTCACCTCAACTCCACACTCGGTACGTCAAAAAAAGGTTGGTTGTCTTTCCACTGATCTACCAGCTTTGTCAGGAAATGACAACACAGTGGAAACAAAGTCGAGTAATCACAAAAGTAAAAGTACAAGGGAATTATCTTCACAGTCTAATGTTAATACGGATGGTAGCAAGCAGTCCGGCAGATCAAGTAAACGGCACAAGTAATCAACCAATTCACACCATTGACACGGACTCAGTAAACAATAACACAGGTATTCAACCAATCACACGAGAACATTGATATATATTGATATATAGATTCCATAAACAACCAATCACAATAACACTAAACCAAAGATTACAGTAACACTGGATTGTGTCGAAGTATGGGATGCTGATTTAACACCAAATCATTGTATTCTTCTGTCCCTTTACAGAGGTGTTACTAGAAAGGTCAGTAGTTTCCAGTCCACTCACTAGATATTTTGAATAAAATTACAGGAAATAGATGACTCAAAAATGAAATAAGTGTAATTTTACTCCATTCCATAACTTGCTCAAAAATGTGCCCTTTTTCTTCCAAACTTTTGAGCAACCCTCGTAATATTTGATCCACCAAAAAAATATCAATCTTTACCCCATTGTCAAATTTTAGGGAAAACAGTCCGACCTGACAGTGTTCATTAAACTTCACAAGGAATTCGTATATCAGATGATAACTTTTGAAGAAAATGAATTATCTCCAGATGAATACAGAATTGCCAGTAAACAGTATGTTAAAACTGATCCCAGTTTAAATATACCTCTTGGCAGTGTGGCACATCATGCTTACTTTAACCTACCTCTTCCACTCCTGTTTTCTCACATTTCTAAAATCATTGAATTTAACTGGCAGCTCTTCATTCATTTTCATTATTTAGATATTAACATTACTTTTGATAGGTTGTATGAAGTATAAAACAGACACCAGAATCAGACATTTTTTATCATAACAAACCTAAGACAAAATATAATGTTTAAAGGAACCTGTTTTGATATAAGATGCATGTTCACTTTTGTGGTGACAAATCTTGACCTATATATAGAACACTGTGTAAACTGAAGTGTAATTGTTTTTTATATCTATTTTAGATATGTGATTCAAGTTTGCAGTTATATTTTGAAATATTCACTTTTTCTCTACAATATAGACTGAATCATTCTGATTGAATCTGAATTTGATGATAGAGCTACAACCTTCCAATCAGGAATATTTCAGTAAGATATCTTGGGAAAAGCTCTGGTTTCTCAACATGCCCATAAAATTTATGATATCACAGTAAAGGATTCTTACTGGAATAGCCCTGAATATTTTTCAAACTTAAACATCAATAACAATAATGCAGAGCATTTAAACATAAAGAATTTGGTGTCTATATTTTTGTACCTATCTGCTTGTACATACCTGTTCGATACTTGCCTATACATAGCTGTAAATAGGTGTATTGTCTATACCAGGGTAACAGAAATGTATGTATGTATTCTGTGTATCATAAACATAGCCAGAAATTTTTATTTTTTTACATCACATGCACCAATATATCATATATGTTGAATTCTGAGCCTCAGTTACTGTAATTGATTTCCACATTTCCAAATCTGTCAGTCACATAGCAATTTCATCACATTACAATTATGTGACTGTCCCAAATGACAACATACACATGTCTTGTATCTTGTATTAGACAAGTTAAAAAGTTAGGTGAATTTTTTCTGAAATTTTACTGTAATTAAGTTTTAAAGCAATTATTTTTTTCTTTAAGCTAGAGAGATATTGTTGCTAGTGTAAATCAATTAATAAGAGAAATCTTGAAAGTTAAAAGAATACCAAAGTTTTCCAACAAAGTTGATTTTAAGTGTGAAAGGTTGTATATTTCATCTATGTTTTACGTACTCTATTTCTGTGACAGGTATGTAGGTTTTTCACATCTGGTCATGCACATTAAATTGAATTATGTGATCTGAAATGAGGAATTTTCAACATTTACAGGTAAATTTGTCCTGAAATGAGGAATTTTCAACATTTAGAGGAATAGTTGTCCAAGCTGTAACTTCTGTGAGTTTCTGACTCATTTTTGTTGATTTTCGTTAGAACGATCCACTCCAAATGGCTTAATGATATTCAATATATAATTTCTGAAAGGTTCGACATTTTTAGGAAACTTTGATAATTGGTAAATATCAACAGAAATTTCGTTGTAGTAATGATTTGTTTTAATTTTAATATGTGGATGAAGCATTACTATGTCACAGTAGTCAAAATTTGCAATACCTCAATGTATTCATCTGTGTTTTATTTTAATCTGCAATTTGTTAGACTTTTTTGTACAGCTATTACATTTACACTCTCTTAAATCATCTTTAATTCGGTGCTATGTGATGATTGTCGATAAATCATGAGTTCATAACAGATTTTTCAGAAGATAATTGTTATGTATATTGGTACAAGTGTCGGTAAGATATACATAATGCTCCATTAGTTTCATGGGATGGTAATCATGGTGCAGTAAAGTTAGAATTAAAGATTTCAACAAACAATTCACATTGTTTTCTTCTTGATCTGATTGAACGTCCTCCCATATGTAACCCAACAAAACAACATCTTGATTTTGCTTCTCATCCCATGATTTTCAGTTCACATGGAAGTTTAGAATCTTTGCAAATTTGATATTTTGCCATAATATACATTGAATGTAGTGTGGTTAGGTTTACTCAAAGAAATACTTTGACCTACAGGCAAGGTCATAGGTGTAATGCAATAAAAACCTTAAACAATAGCGTGTATTTTGAGATTGGTGTTATATACTGTTTCCTCATAGTCATGTTCAAATACAAATTAAAATGAAGCCTTCAGAATCTTTATACTTAATGAAGAAACGGTTCAAAGCTTTCAGTTAACGAGAAATTTTATAAATGATTAAAACCCTTTGACCTTAACTTTTGAGTCAAAGTAATTCTTCTTGAAAACATTGTATAGAAACATAACTGAAATTGCTTAGAAATTCTTTATTGGAACATATTAAGCTTTGGGTCAAGCCAGCTGAAAATACTGAATGAATACTTGATATTTCACCTGAAGCAGGCTGGAGTGAAAGACTGACAAGTTTTGTTTATTGGTACAAAGACAAACAAAATCTGTAACTTGATTCATAGTGTCATTTATTTTTGACATGGGAAAATTTTTTTTAATTTGACAGTGAGGAGCGTGGCTGGCCGCCCATCACAATGAGATGCTACATACATACATATCTCACAATAGACCCTAAACTTCATTATAAACACTATGACAATCCTAGTTACATATATATATATTATTTACAAAAATCAACATCTTTTGGTATGTGCGTTATATACAGCGACTTTAAAATCTTGCACTACAAGTGAAGATTTATATATATATTTATATATTTATAATTTTATGAGTGGTCTTTCCCACACGTGATAAATAAATGCTCACATATCTTACAATAAAACATGATTTTTCCATATGATATAAATATGACCAAAAACTTTCCAAATACAAGGTCTCGTCTCCACCACCACCTGATCCTTGATGAAGAATAACTTGGGGAGAAAATTTCATGTAATGGTCAAAAGTGCAAGAAAACAGCACCTGATTAACGACCACAACAGTACACACACTGCCGTGTAGGAAAGGCCAGGGTAACAACAAGGGTCAGGGGTGGACACGAGGCCCTTATACAGTTAACAGGCTATCCTGTACTGTGACAAGATTGTACACGTAACAGAAAACTTCCTGTGGATGGTATTCCATGGTTATATTTACAGATGAAAATCAGGTCGACAACTACATATACAATCAAAAACATCACCACACAACAATAACACGCAGGTAACTAAGTTTAACATTTCATAAAAGAGTTTATCTAAAACGTGTTAATGTCAACAACACATTCTTGTGGCTGAATCTCCATATCAATTCTGACCTTATTCATTATCAGAAACAATGATGCATGAAAATTTTTGCATGATTTCTATAAATATCGATGCCAATCAATTTGCTCAGTAAAACAAAAATATAGAGGAAATATTTGAATGGAAAGGTTAAATTTCACTTACATAGTATGTATGCCATATATGTATGCCACAAGCTGTTGTCTTTAAAACACTTTAAACACAAACCTTATTATCTCAAAATGTTAACAAAACAAAATGAATAAATATATGTATACTGATATACTGAAACGTTTTGCTGCTTAATCAATAATCAGATTCAACTCTGATAAATACTGAAAAAATTGTAAAACAGAATATGATTTCTCTTCATTCAAATATCATACTTATGACATCAATGTGTGTTTTTCAAATATACTTTGCTTAATTATTGTATTAACCTGGGTTCTGGTTGGGTCGAAAAAAAATTTTCTTGGGATTTTTTTTTTTTTTTTTTTACACCCTGTAACTACATCCTGATCCTGTGAACACTTTCAAGATCTTATTCAATAAGTGCAGAACACAATATTTTAAACAATAAAGCAAGTGGATATCACTTATTAAGAAATTGAATTATGTCAACAGTTAATGCTGTATACCTTTGTACGTCAGGAGAGACAACTCATGTAATACCGAAATATTTCTCACCAGAGTTAACCCAAATTCTCTGTTCTTAGATTAAGAAACACAACTATACAAAATAATTCACTTCAATTATTGAATAAACTTCTCAAGTATGAAATCTATTGTTAAAGCACATTTCTTCCTCCTCCATATTCTTTTATAATTAACAACCATGTTTCCATGACAGTTCGTCTCAAGGGCTGTATAATGAATGCTCACTATTACACCGCCTACACCAGATCATAAAAGTGTAATAAATAAGAAATTATCAGACCATATGCTTATCAACATTACAAGCTTTCATTTCAGTCTTACATATTTATCACTTTCACCAAGGATAAAATAGTTAATATGGTTTTCATATTGTTTAATAATTTTTTAGTTTCAACTTCAATTGAACACTATCTTGTATATCATAGAAGTATATATGAATTTTAAGGGCCTTGAAAACAAACTATGTATTATGTTCTTGAATAAAATTACATGATTTTCATTACGAGTGTTTCATAGTATAGACTATATACCAATGCAGTAAATAATCAAAAGTTTTCCAAGCTGATTTAAGTGTGATTTCTGATGGTTCTGTGGCCAAAAAAATCACAGTTTGTTACCCAGCAGTAATCAAATCACAGTAAATATTCACAAATTGCTTTTACAGTGTCTAGAAAACATCACAAAAACTAAAACATCCAAATCTACCCTGAATAAAAACTGCCTAGAAATCGTCTTTTTAAAATTGCCATTTTGTTTCACAGACATAAAACAAATTTATTGCGGTGGCATATTAAAACAGTCTTCATAATAAAATATGTTACCTGATGAATGGGTTGGTGTTCATAATGACATGAGCTTTAAACAGAACAATGTTGAGTACATATATTGTTAATATACAATTGTTCTATAAATATGTTGCTGACTAAAACACTTAGCTGTCTAAAAGTACAAACAACAAAATACATAATAAAGGATTATCTATTGAAAAGAGTGAACACAGTAATTTACATGCTCTTTGACATGTAACTTGTTATATATTTTGTCAGTTTTTGCTCTACACTGAATAATTTAACGGACTCCAAATTAACAATTAAAAAAAAAATATATAGAAAATATTACGTGAACAAGAGACCTAATGGGCCTGCAGCGCTCGCCTAGTATGTATATACCAGTCAAATATCATGCCTCCAGGCCTTTTAGTTCTTCAGAAGAAGTCGTTTAAAGGTTTTCACCAATTTGACCGGTGACCTTGAATATATATCAAGGTCATTTCTTTTCACAATCTTTATCAATATCAAACCATTTGGTGCATTGGTTATTGAGAAGAAGTTGTTTTTAAAAAAAAGGTGACGTCAGAGGACGGACAAACGACGGGCCACAGCATAATCTCACAGGTGAGCTAAAAATTTAACTATGGTTAGTGATGACCAAATAATGAAAATAATAAGAAGAAATTAACTTAAAATGAAGCCAGTTAATTTGTCATATGTATTCAATTATTATGAAACTGGAACCAATTCCCATAACTAACTTCTGTTCAAAATGTAATGTAACAAAGTACATCACTTATCAACCAATAGACAGAACACACATTCATGATCCCGTAAACAATTATAAACAGTTCTTACAGATGGAACCTGACCTACTTAGCATACTGATTTCATTATTCTATGATTTATAGTCTACTAGCATTGATTATCAAACACATCCTTGAAACACCAAGACTGTTTCTTGACTGTAAATTAAATAGACATCTATGTGGCTTACAAGACCCAACGCCATACAAAATATTAATGGACTTGAAAAGAATAAAAGTTTGGCAGTGATATTGAGCAAAATTGAATACAAATCTATAATTCCTGGCATCACACAACAAAGTTTAAAAATGAATTTTGAATGAACGTTCTTGAAAATTCACATGTAATCAATTCATTGTTAAGAAATACACATTGAAAACATATACAAACAGGTTTAGACTCAGACAAAAGAGATGCTTTAAATAATAAGTTTCCAAGTTTTAAATGAATCAGTAGATGGATTTCCAAGAAAGATATAAAGCATGATGTTAAATGTTAATAACAACACAGGCAGCTACAGTAGAAAGATTTCACCAAGAACATATGTATGAAATTATCCAGAGAGATTAAACACTCCTCAGCAATGAAATGGTAAACTTAATCCTATCTTATTATAACAGCTGTTTTAATCAGTGCCGATCCTTGTGAAATTTATATCGTATCTTTTTCCCCATATAACACTATAAACTATTTAATTTTGCATAGGAGAAATTTTGTATATTTCATGAAATATAGTGGCCTTTTCATTTTTCTCTGTATTTTGTTACAGATCTGAGAATCAAACAAATATAATTTTATGTTTTACATTATTTTATACTTTTTCTCACAATTGAAAAAACAAAACAACAAAGTTAACTTGAAGAGTACTAGAATTCTTTCATGTGCAGCTTGTAGTGTTCAAGTTAACGTGATGGGTGTCCAGTGAGAAATAAAGAAATTCCATTTAAGGTGGTCAGTCACTAGTTCTGATTGATTGATTAGAAACTTTACTTTCTGTTTTGCTTATTTTTTCATATTCATGGCATATGTCATTGCACATATAAGTCACCCTAAATCAATGATCTGGTTACAACAATGTACTTAAGCAATAATTAAATAAACTTAATTACCCACATCCTCCTTACTTTGTCATGTTAGGGTTGTTTACTTGTAAATTAAGTTATACACAGTATTTACTAGTAATATGCCTATCAATTTATACTGCTAATCTCAAAGGTTACAAAAAACTGTTATTGTCCTGTAATACGTTCATCCCATGGCACCTCTTGAGATAGAAGTACTGTGGCAAAAATTCTACAACCCTGGAAGGACAGACAACTTCAGACCATCACTCCTTCACCTACACATCACTGACAGACAACGCCAACTCCAGGTCATCACTTAAGGAGTTACACATCATTGACTGAAAACTTTCCTCCATCACTCCATGACCTACACATTACTAACTGAAAACTCCGGGTCATCACTCCAGGACCTACACATCACTGACAGACAACTCTGGGTCATCACTCCAGGACCTACACATCACTGACAGACAACTCCAGGTCACCACTCCAGGACCTACACATCACTGACAGACAACTCCAGGTCACCACTCCAGGACCTACACATCACTGACAGACAACTCTGGGTCATCACTCCAGGACCTACACATCACTGACAGACAACTCTGGGTCATCACTCCAGGACCTACACATCACTAACAGACAACTCCAGGTCATCACTCCAGGACCTACACATCACTGACAGACAACTCCAGGTCATCACTCCAGGACCTACACATCACTAACTGACAACTCCAGGTCATCACTACTTCACCTACACATCACTAACTGACAACTCCAGGTCATCACTCCAGGACCTACACATCACTGACAGACAACTCCAGGTCATCACTCCAGGACCTACACATCACTGACAGACAACTCTGGGTCATCACTCCAGGACCTACACATCACTGACAGACAACTCCAGGTCATCACTCCAGGACCTACACATCACTGACAGACAACTCCAGGACAGACAACTCCAGGTCATCACTCCAGGACCTACACATCACTGACAGACAACTCCAGGTCATCACTCCAGGACCTACACATCACTGACTGACAACTCCGGGTCATCACTCCAGGACCTACACATCACTGACAGACAACTCCAGGTCATCACTCCAGGACCTACACATCACTGACAGACAACTCCAGGTCATCACTCCTTCACCTACACATCACTGACAACTCCAGGTCATCACTTCTGGGCCTACACATCACAGACAACTCGGCTCATCACCCTAGGACTTTTACAACACTGACGACCACAAATCATCACAAAAGAACCTGCCCTATCATTTTCTCCTTCACTTTGTACCTGCCTAATGACAATACCCCTTCATAACGAACCAGGAACTATTATTTGACTGAATGGAGAACAGCTTTACCCTTCATATTCCCTCTGCAAGTAGTTCTTACTGGACTGATAAATGCTTTTTATTCCCTTAATGGGCCTAAATATTTTCCAAATCCAGGATATAAAACTTGTGTAATAATGTGCCCAGATTGATATCAGTTTATCCAATTCAGTTTAAATTAGGCCCAAAAGCTACATATATAACATTCATGATTCATTGTCCAATAACAGAGTCAAATTAATTAAGACATTTGAAATATTTGAGTACTGGGTACATCAATTTTGGTTTGACAAAACATTTTTTGAAAAAATTATGTTGAACTGATTTTTTCTACATAGATTTACACCGTTATTTTAGTAACATACATTCAGCTGTTGTGATCCTGATGATAGTGATTACTGAGGTGGCTGACTAGGACATCGCCTTGTTAATTGTCAAACATTCAGCTGTTAAAACCCATTATGGCCTCATTCATAAGGTCATCGTCAATGTCACATGGAGAGGGATTTGAAACAGAACTGGGGTTGGAGTGGTCCTTTGTCACCACGGTGATGGGAGAATTCGTTGGAGGTGTGCCCTTTAATTTAGGAGATGGTGTATGAGTCTTGGGAGGCTTGATGCCAGAGTTAATCCTTCTGTTGTTCTCTATAACAGTGTCAGCTACCAACACCTCCTGGTTACACTGTGGTGAGTTGGTTTTGTTTTGAAGTGTACGCGGAGACATTGTCTGACAGTCAATTATAAGGTTCTCAGGGCTACTGGCAGGACTGGCTGGACTAAGAACAGGTCTGGTTGTACTTGTACGCGACTTTCTCCTCACCACTAAATTCTCAGTGTCCTCCAAGTCTTTCTCTTCTACACTATTAGACTTGGGTGTTGGCACTTTAAAGAAATCTTTTTCAATGTCACTCTTTCTTTCCGCATCTCTAGGGGAGGATGTTTCCCCATTGAATTTGTTAGGATTTGCTTTCGGAGAATGAGTTCTTGCCTTTTTAGCAGGACTTGGGTGATCAACGTCTCGTGACAGTGATCCACCCTCACGTTCATTACTGCCAACATTCAATACTTGTGAAGATGAATTACTTTTGGAATTAGATACAGTTTTATCACTTTCACCAACAGATTTATCACCTTTGGAAGTCTGTTCTTCATAGGATAAACTATCCATGATTGATGAGAATAAATTTCTAGAGTCACTACGTCCATCCCGTGGAGCAGCTGATTTGTCACCAACACTTCCTTTTTTGCTGGGACTATCTGAACAAGTCTTGTTAGCAGGTGATTTCTGCACACTAGCACTGGATACAGTTTTACTGTCTATAGATTCTGCTCGCCCTCTGCCCTGTACAGACTTACTGCTTGCGTTTTTGCCTGTCTCACTAGGCTGGGAATTTATAATTGTTTTTGCAGCAGTTCCACCTTCCTGAAGCTCTGTTTCTGCCTCGAAGGCATCATCATACCCCCTCTCCTCCCCCGGGGATCCTTCTCCACCCTCAGGGACACTGCTAACATGAACACTTTGCTGACTGGACTTTGTGAGTTTGTCAATGACAGCAGACAGAGAGCTTTTCCTGGCCCTGGCTTTGGCCATTGCGCTAGCAGACAAGGTACCTGCTGTAGAACTACTAGGGGAGGAATGAGTAGCTGGGGTGCCACCATTGCCTCCACTGACTGACATGGCAGGAACTGCTACTGAACTGGTAACAATAGTGCTGACAGGACTCCCATTGCCTGCAATACCACTGATTGTACTGCTAACACTTGTAGTAACACCACTACTGCTGACTGTAGTGGCAGGTGCTATTACCGAGGGTTTCTTCACAGGTTCTCGTTCCATGTTGTTGACAGGCGCAATGCTAGATTTACTGCTGGAGTTGTGTGCAGTAGAGCTGGGAGGGAAGATTTTGTTGTTAACGCTATGGTTGTTGATATTGTTAGAACTTGATGAAGGTACAATGCTTGACTTATTTGAGCTTTTGTTGACTGTGTCATTGGTTGTTCCGGACACAGAGGAAGGCCTGGTAGACACATTGGAACTGTTTGAACTACGATTAGCATTACTAGGGGGTGTAGAGCTGTTGCCTACCGATTTATTCACAGAATGCTGGTTGGGAAGCGAGGTGTTGTTTGACTTGTTGATTGGATTGCCCCCTTTACCACCAGCTGTAGTCATTGTAACACTGGATGTCTTGTTTGTGCCTCCACTGTATCCAGAGACACTGTTTGGTTTGGAAACTGATGTGCTTGTACTACTGTTTATGGCACTCGAGGACTTCATGGCAGCAGTAGCATTTACGGGTGATGAGTATGAAGATGTAGAGGAAACTGTGGATGAGGGAGGATTTGCTGCGGACAGTGGTGTGGATGTGGATTTGCTGGAAGAAGAAGAAGATGAGGATGCAGATCGTTTGGGGATTGGTGGTAGACTAGCTATTCCACTGGCATTCGTGTTCAGAAATGATAACACATTGGCAGCATTGGTTGAGCTCCCAGACTGGGGTTTACTGGATGAGGTAGACGATTTTGTCAGGGAACTACTCGACTTTACTGAGGAGTTGGGTGTATTTCTTCCACCAGAAAGTGAAGGCGAACCACCTTTCCTCTCAGTGGAATAAATTTTGTTTCCACTAGATGGCAGCCCATTAGACCCTTTGGACAGACTCCCTGTAGAGTTTCGGCCTGACGAAGCGAGATTTCTACTGGTGGATCCTGCTGATGACTTCCCTGAGGTAGACGACGATGTCTGAGACTTGCTTGAATAAATAGATGCTGCCGTAGGCCCCTTGCCAATTGGGGGCGTTTTCACTGACGTTGATGAAGAGGATTTCCCAGATGGGGGCGGTGTCATTGACCCGCTCTTAGAACTGCCAGAGGTTGCCAAGGACACTGCCCCAATTCTACCAATTGTTGCTGATGTTGGGGTGAGCGCATTCTTACTGGAGGAAGAGGAGCTGGTAGCTGGAGCTTTGACAGACGGAACATTCACTGAGGAGCTGTGAGGCATGGTAATGGGCTTCAGTTTTATCGTTGGTGTTTTGGTGATGAGCTTTGAGTCAGCTTTACTGACTGTGACGCTAGGTGAAGAAATTGAACGGTGTCTATGTGATGAAGATAAAGATTTTTGACTACTAGATGATGAGGATTTAGTCTTTACAGAAGACACTTCGTACTTGTCTGAATGTTCCTTAGAAGCCTTCCTCGAACTCTCTCCTTTCTCTCTGTCTTTAGAAGAGGAAGGGGAGGAAGTCTTTGGACTACTTTCCATTGAAACTTTACTACCACTTTTGATAAACTTCACCTTTAAATTGTCACTTTTCACTTCTGTTTCCATCGTAGAAGTCGTATACACAGCTGCCTCTCCCATGGAATCATTACTTCTATCTCCCGTTTTCCGCTTCTTTTTCTCTTTCTTTGAGTCTAGCTTTCGTTTTCTCTTGCCAGTATCACCCACACTACTACTATGCCTGAGCTCATTCTTTTTGTATTTGTCTATTTTGCCACTGTTTGAATCATAAATATTTGCCATTTTAGGCTTAATTTGAAGCCTGGTAGGGGACTGGGCGATTACACTCACTGTCATATTCCGACGTTCCTTAAAATTCTCGAAAGGTTCGTCATCGTCACTTTGAAAGTCAAACATTCCAGTACTTTTACTCTTCGGCAATGACACATCACTGACATGTGAAGGTGAACTTTCCATCACACGGGGCGCTCTCTTTAATGTTAATTTCAGATTTAAGTTTCGTTCTGACTTTATTTGCACATCACTATTCACAATACTGTTATCTAAACGATTTTTTCCGTCCAATAGCGATCGTAAAGAAGAATTTTCCATCTTTTCCAGTTTAATATCTCGCTGTTGCACACTTACATTGTTGCTGTACACCATCTGTGTGGTGGGAAAGCTAGCTGCCGTTTTGTTAACACCACTGCTAACATTGCTACTCAACATTGCACTCAGACTGTACGGATGACTATCACAAGACTTATAATTGTTTTCCCTTGGAGTGTCACAATCACTATAGTTAGGGGAAAAGCTAGTTGAACCGCGGGAAGAGCCAACACTAGAGGGATTGTGTTCCCCCGACTCCCCGGAATGTTGGTTTTGAGCATTTTGATTAGAGTTTTGTCTAACCACTCCCGGTGATGTCAGTCCCTTTCTGAGTTCCCCGCGAAGGTTGGTTTGACTGTTTGTGTAGAAGGTTGGATCTGTTGTCTTAGTTACCTCTCCCGACCCTATGAGGAGCGCCTCAAGAGAGGTAGACGATATCTCGTTTTTTGACCCGGCATTAGATGTTGGGTAAAAATTTCTGTTATCTGCATCCTTGCCATCAGATAACAACATGGACAACTCCTTATCCTGCCGACCATGCAGGTCCGGTTGCGGAGGGTATTGAAGCTGCTGTTGGTTTTGTTGCTGATGTTGGTTTTGTTGCTGGTGTTGGTTTTGTTGCTGGTGTTGCTGGTGCTGCTGGTGTTGTTGGTGCTGCTGATGTTGCTGTTGAAGCTGCTGTTGATGAAGTTGTTGTTGCTGTTGCTGAAGTTGTTGGTATTGTTGTTGGTCCTTGGGTATAATTCTATCCAAAGTGTTCTCCAGCTTTTTCATGGGTGATTCCATGGGATATGGTTCTGGTGTAGTAAGGTCAATAGTCATACTTGAACTACTTCCCTCTCGGGTTTGAGGATGGGCATGACCCATCCCTCCCCCTGTTGCCCCTCCACCAGAACCAGGATGATGCAAGTCATCAAATGAAATACTGGAATCTAAATGGTCCATACTAACACTACTACTATCACTGTCGGACACTCTATGCTTAGGGCTTCGTCCACTGAGTGTATCTCGTGAGCGTCTCTTGCCTAGTTTTCTAGCTTTCTGTGCACGTGGTGCAGGGATACTTGAAGCGAGGGCTGGAGTATCATCCCCTAGTAACTTGGACAACATGGGACTTTCGTTGACGGGAGATGAATCGGGACTGGGAGAGTCCTGGTCCAGAAGAGTAGCCAGGAGAGGATTACTGCTAGGCTTGTCGTCCGTGGGAGTGGTACTAGTGTCCATCACTGGGTTCTGAGGTAGACCCACAGGTACAGCCATATTTGGCTGCATCTTGATGGGCACTTGTTGTGGTGGCAACAGATTGTGTAGTAGATTTGTCTGTTTATTGTCCATATGAATGTGAACAGGATTGTAGCGAATTGGTAGAAAGTTGGGCCACTGCTTTCTGTGGTTGTTTGTTGGCACAGGTTCTGGTGTGGGCTCCTTGCGTAGTTTTTCTGACACTTTGTGTATTACAGATCGCAGGGTGACTGGTATAGACAAACACCTGCAACAGACATATACACATGAATTAATGATCAGAACAAGACACAAAATACTTCAGGTATTACAACTGAGATAATACATCTAAATATCTCATTTAAATTTAAGTTAATTTAAAGTTATATTTGAATATTTACAATCTGAACATTCCACAAATAATGTCACAGATCTTTTAATTACAATAATTATCACAATCAATGTAACCCTTCAAATCCTAACAGATCACAAATACTTCTACCACTACACTAACAGAACATCAATCTTTCTAAACACACTCCTCAGAAGAACAATTATAGTGCATAGAATTATGTTACCATATAATACCTCATATTTCACATACTGGGATCAAGATAATATTACTATGATTAAGACTGTTGATTTCATGTGGATCAGAATGTTCAAATTTTAGTTCAGTAATATTTTCTAATTAGCACAAATGCTCCTTAAGTTCAGCAAAGTTCTCACAAAAAATTGAAAAAGCGAATGACTTTACAAAGTAACTGATTATACATAAATAATATTAACATAATACATGTACATATTGTTTGAATTTATTTCATTATATATTTGCTGAAAGCTGGTTTGGGACAGTGTTTACCAGAGAGCTGCTTTACAATACATCAAGGACTAAAGGTTACATTGGTTAGGTTATTACAAGTTCAGTAAGATCAGAAAGTACCTTTGGAATATTTTTGTTGCTATATCATCCGAACAGAGTTCCTCACCGTCCTGACCTATACACACTTTGAACTTTACATTGGTAATATCACACAAGTCCACATCAGCTGTAGATAACAAGAACATATACAAATCACACATTTATTTAAAAACCAGTGATGTAAGAAATGATATGGTACACGGTTTAATTACTCTCAGATTTAAATAAAGGAATCATATCCCATCAATAACCTTCATCAGAAGTTCTATTTATCGGACTGATTGATTTACAGAAAAGAACATTTAGCATTGTTTTCTTGCAGAATTACTCTATTTGTGTTAGAGTTATCTCTCTTATCTTTATAGATAACAGAATTCTCAACCCCATGGGTCTAAGGATATGTTTTCTAATAGCTTCTCCATTATTGTAATATCCAATTAATACTGGCTAAATTAAGTCAGAGACTTTACAGCAGAAACAACATGAGTGTTTAACATGAACAGTTTATAGCACTGAATGCATTCTGCGACCTATGCACAGAATAAATGTGCTCTAGCTACTATTTCTTACTATATTTATCCTGTATACACAAAAACATTGTATGGTTGGGCTTATTTCAGGACAATTTGATTTGCTTTGTGAGAGATAAAGAAAACACAAGACAGGTTGAACAAGTCCTATGTTTTGTGTAGGTGATCAAGAAAGATTTCAGTTGACAGAGAACATGTTAAATGTCATTTAATGTGAAAGATAAAGTAAGCTTTCACTAGACAAGTGTCACCGTACCTGTTACCATAGTATCTTGTAATGGATGCTCAAACGTAACTGTCAAACTCTGTAATGAGGCTGCTGCTAAATCAAACACCACAGAACTCTTGATATCTGCAATGAGATCAAACTGCTGAAAGAATGCTGTATTTTATAACCACTACTTACATGGACAAAATTATCAATATTTCAATTATGTATACAGACAGCAATATTTAAAACATGTATTGTAGAGCTGCTCTGCCTGTCGTTGAATAAGGATATAGTTGTTTAGATCCCCTGCAAAGAGAGCCCAGTCTCTGACATAATATCTAGCTGAGACTATTCAATGGAATGTTGAGAGGGTCAGAAGTGGTAATTTGAATCTTATTAATGAAGTTATTTTAAATGGTTTTGAAGATATGGTCTGGAAACACTGAAATCTGTGAATCAGTGAACTTGACAGTTTCCATGGCAAACAAATCAACAAACTAAAATGACTTTATAGCAAAAGGAATCACTATAAAACCAATCCATTGATTATCATAGAAGTTTCAGGGAATTATTTGAAAGGATCTTGCAAATATGTTCTGGAAATACTTAAATCAGTTATTTTGACTATTTGTTTCCGTGGTAACAATAGTTTTGTGGAATTACCTAGAATAGTTTTAGAGATACACTAAAACAGCACTTAAATCAAAGAATTTAACAATAGTTGAACCTCGTCTACTTGATCTCTTATAACTTGAAGACCCTGAATAATTAAAGTATTTAGTCAGTCTGGCCAAACTTTACACTAAATATCAGAACTTACTGAAACCAAATACTCACAAAACTCAAAATTTTCCCACAGTCCTGCCAATTTCAAGATAGCAAGGTTTGACTGTATTTGTTTCCATGGTAACTTTATGAATATTGAAACTGAAAGCTGTTCCATAGTAAAAAGCAGTACTACAACACTTAGATGATGTTAATATGATGTTTTGTTAAGTTATCTTGAATTGATTTCTAGATATGCCACTGGACGGACAAACAGACAGACGGATGAACAGATGGATGAATGGAAGGATAAAACCAGTTTGTACATACCCTACCAACATTCATTTTGTGGTGAAAATTTAGTGGTTCATCAAAAAGTTGTGACAAACTTGTACACAATATATCACAATATTAATCTCTATTTAGTACTGAGAATCAGTTGTTGTTGCATATATGCTGATCCTATATAATCAAAGAGATTTGATCAATTGTTAATCAATATCAGAATAGCTTTTAGAGAAAAAAAATTTATCCACCTGGTACAATGATACATCATACTGGATGTAAACTATATGTATTCAGAGATTCATAAATCTGTGAATGACATCTTATAATACCTGGTTGACTTCAAATAAAGCAGTTTTAACTGGCAGTAACACATACCCTGTTGTGCATTAGGCCGAATACAACTCTCTATAACAGTGTTAAAGATGACCTGTTGTCGAAGATGATTAAGGACTTGTGCCACACTAGTTGGGTGTGTGAATGGGATTCGGCTGACCATGATGGCTGGCTGGTCAAGTGAACACCCACTGATGTCACTCATAAAATATACATGCTGCTGATCGGGCAATGTCTGAAACAATATCATATATAGAGAGAAACACCTTTCTGTAATGAGGATTCTTTTCAGATCTAAATGCAATTTCTATCAATCACAACCTTAAAATCAACTCTTTTTTAATTATGTCTTATGAATTACGAGACGATTGCTTTTTGTTTAATAACGGCAGACATTTTCTTTTATCTTACACTAGTTAAAGTAAAAATCTAACTTGGAATGTACTGATTTTTGCAAAGAAATCATTTCACATAAACGTGTACATTTATCTAGATTATTGTAACTTGACCTGGCCCCACTTGTATAAAACATCTCAACTTGAGATTTCCTCAAGTCGAGATTTTCCTCAGCTGATATCTCCTCTAAAACGGCTTGTATAAAATTTTCTCAAGGAACAGGAGGAAGTCATTGGCTAGGATGTCCTGAAATTCCTTGAGGAATTTTCATACAAGATATTTTCAAGGAGATATTAGCTGAGGAAAATATGGGCTTGAGGAAATCTTAAATTGAGATATTTTATACAAGTGGGGCCTGATCCATAATTATAAACATCAAATATTCTGTAACTTACAACAAAAAATTCCTTGCCCTCCTTATGACTCTGTGATTTGGCTGCCCGTTGATTTATGAGTTGTAACAAGGGCTTCGTCTCACCAACAGATATCACATCTAGTTCTACAACAAATATTCAAAAGAATTAGGTCTCTTGAACATGAGACATGGAAATTTTTATACAGCATATCTAGTGCTTTCTGTCCCATCCAGTTTATATGAAAGGACAACATTTCTAATTGTCTTTCTGTTAAGACAACAAGGGACGAAAAATTGTTAATACATGTGTACTTCATTGCTATTTTGAAACAATTGTGTGAAGGAAAATACTCTTTGATCTGGAATTGAATTCTGCCTTAAGGTATCGTTCTGTAACATCTCCTTCCTGGGATGAGATTTTTTTACAAAGCCATAGCCTTAAATAGATTTATCACTTCTTACACAAATGTAAATTGACAGCAGCTGGTTTAATCCAAGACAAACAGAATTATCTTGGGACCATTAGGATCAATTTGAGATAAGGATTACATTGAAAGCAAAAAGATCAAACCTGAGGCACTGAATCTTCCAGACCATTAGGTTAAGTTCTAGATAATTATAACCATGTTGATAATGATTAACCTGAGATCATGATTCATCTGAGACCAGAATTCACCTGAGACCATGATGATTAACCTGACATCATGGTGACTAACCTGACATCATGATGATTAACCCAAGACCATGATGATTAACCTCAGATCATGGTTATTATCCTGAGATCCTGATTAAACTGAGATCATGATGAGAGCTATAAGTTACCTGTTACACTCTGGATAGATTGCACATTGGACATGGCCACTGGAATTGGCTGGGGAAGGACCAACACAAAACAGGCAGACAAGGTACAACTGTTTACGTTGGAAAGGCCTTGAAAGCAGGGAAGACTGAAAACAATAACAACATGTCAAAGCACCAACATATTGAAGAATAAATCCATAATTGAAAATCTTTTATAATAACAATTAGGAGACGAAATTTGCCATTTCCAAAGTAAGAGTGTAATTGATCATGAGAACACCCGTTACACCTTACCTCTTGCCATCTTGTTTGACAACACTCATCAGTGGTATTGTTTGTAGCTTATTAGGACTGCAGGGTTCTATACACACTGTCACACTCTGGCCTAGCTCATACTCTGTTATAGCTGAAACATAACAACAAACATCTAATTACTCTGGCCTAGCTTATACTCTTGTTACAGCTGAAACATGACAATAAATATCAAATTATTCTGGCCTAGGTTTTACTCTGTTATAGCTGAAACATGACAACAAACATCTAATTACCCTGGCCTAGCTTATACATTGTTATAGCTGAAACATGACAATACATATCTAATTACTCTGGCCTAGGTTATACTCTGTTATAGCTGAAACATGACAACAAACATCTAATTACTCTGGCCTTGGTTATATTCCATTACAATTAAAACACGACAAATAATTACTCTGGTCTATTAAGTGATATTATTCTTATTCAAATCTCAACAGTCAATCAATTCAAAAAAGTTCCTAAGGCCAACAAATAATCTAATAGGAACAGTAAACAAACAAAAAACTCTAAAAGACAGCTATGAGAAAATTTTCATGTGAGTGTCTTAAGTGAAGTTATGCAATGAACTTTACTTATAAAAGATCACATTTATAAGAATTGAAAATTCTAGTCATTCTTCAGTGCACCTACCTTCTACAGTCATAGGATGTGGCGATTTGGTTTTTTTATCCAACAGATCATATGGTGAAACAAAGTATATTAATTTCATTGGACATCCTGCAAAATCAAGACAAGTATTATACACAAATATGCATTAGCTTACTTCGAGATAAAATATATAATGTAAACATCTAATATCTTAAGGGGTTATGCTACATTTTGTAAATGTCATGAAAAAAATGTCCTATAACCATGATAAATAATGAAATAAGTTTCAGCCACTCTCTGGTCAAAAACATATAAAAGAGGTATTAATCCTCTTCGTTTTAAAAACATTTTCTATACCAGATAAGATCTGCTCTCACAACTCACCTCTGTCACAGTGACAGCATATTATGGCATATTTCCTTTAGTAAATCGATTTTAATCTATCAACATGTGTTAATTGTAAAGTAATTACTTCAACCCACTTCTAACTCCTTATAAAGAATGGTACATTGACAGTGTAACCCTTACATTGTCAAAATCCTAACGTATAAATTCCTGATAGGTAGTATTACACTGTAATTTTGTTTAACAAAGTCTATCCCAGATGCATTTCTTCAACTTTTTTTGAAATTACAACTTTCATCCCAACAGTTATGTATAGAAGAAGGTCTTTATCATACTATTCTGAGGGAGACTATTTGCAAAATTCATTAAAAAAATATTATTGGAACCGTCCATCTTCATATAAACTTGTCCAACTGCTAACTGTATGAAACAGAAAGGAACTTTATATCTTAGGCAAGTATCTTCAATCAAACTTATCAGTACGGTCTAGATTCCAACTTATTTTCACTTTGATTAGCATTGCATGAATATTTGTTTGCCTACAAAATTATATACATTGTTGCCGTTAATCTCCTGACTACACCACTCTATATATATATGTATGCCTTGTTCGAGACTTTACTTGATAATGTTGATAGTAATTGTTGTCACTGCACTTTATGGTTCTAGTCTAGCCTATGTATTCCTATGTAAAGTCAATGCACACTTATGTTAAGTTACTATACAAGAGCTGTCCATCTTCTTTAAATTTGTCTATCTTGTACATAATAATGACAAAGTATTTATACCAACTAAATACCATCTACAAGATTTACACATGATGATATAATGTCTTTGTATTTTATATAACTTACGTATCAATTATATGTTGCTATGAATGCTTATGAGCGGTAAGACTTCAAGTTAAATTAACAATGAACTGTACTTACCACCCTTTCGAGGCAACAGAATTCCAAGCGGTGACTTGTGGATACAGTTGGCCACCCCCTTAATAGCACTATAACCAATGAAATAAATAATTTATAGAATTAGCAAAATTATTAAGAATGTCAAATGAACGTAAATAGAATATAATCCATCACAGAAACCACTTCATTCCTAGGATAATCTGTCTAAAACGATCATTAATCATTCCTCTAGTGACTTGTTTTATCAGTAATCCCTTTTCATAAACTCTGTCTTCTGTGATCAGGTCTTATATCTTAAAAAAACTGTGAAACAACATAGAAGTTCTTACAATACAACTAGTAGAATGAGTGTTTGTCAACAAGATTGAAGACAAACACATTCATGAATGTCACATTTCCAAGACTACACGGTCACCATCAGACAAATGACCAGCGTGGAGCATACTAGCAATGATGTATGCAGTGTACAAGATTGTTAGGAATCAACCAATTTTTTGACTGTACTATAACCCTATGTACACCAAGGTAAACAAAAAGTACAGATAGTGAACATAGGATACAGCCAGAAAAGTCAGTTGATTCCTTACCATCTTGTACACTCTGTACATCAGTGCTAGTATGCTCCATACTGGTCACTTGTCTGACGGTGACCGTGTAGTCATCGAAACGTCACACTCAAATCTTATACTGGTTGTATTATAAGAACTACTAACTCTACTGACCAAACTGAAGAAAACATTCGTTAAAAAGCAGGATTGTTTGCATCGCAACACAGAAGTTAGGAATAAAATATATACCTCTTACATAACAATAAGTTCATATGTGAATTTTGTTGATGTAATAGATAAGATGCTGTAAGGTTTACTTTAAATCTGATTCCAGCAATGTTGTGTCAGCCATACATACCTTTGTAGCTGAGCAAGGTTGTTGAGATCTGTTTCCAGAGAATGCAAGGCTAAGAAGGCCTTTGACTTCTGTTTTCTGGAGTGATAAATCAAAGCACACATGAAAATCTGTTGTACTAAACCTTTATTCAAATATGTATGCTCTGCTATGTACACAAAACCCTTGTTGACAATGAAAGTGGATTTGGTTTGATATAGAGTGTGTGGATTGGTACAGACAATGAGTCAATGAATCTGGTTTGATATGGAGAGTGTGGATTGGTACTGACAATGATCAAAGGCATGGGTGTGTGGACAGAGCAGATCAATGAATGGCAATTATGTGAAAAGAGTGGTACACAAAGTCAGTGGATTTGGCCCACATGGAGACAGAAATCTAGGATGGATATGGAGTTTATCACACTGATCAAGACACAGACTTTAATATCTGATTTCTGAAACTCTCCAGTTTAAATGATTGTATGTTTCTGACGATACTAACATGACCTATGGCAATGATATTGATGTTATGGTGTTTCATTTAATCCTAATGATATATTACTGCTGCTCTGCTATCCTTGAATCACAATGAACACTCACAAGCTTACACAGACATACCCCAATTACATGTTCATTAACTATATACATGATCTCAAAAGATATTTTGTACAGACTTTTTATCTGACCTTTTCATCTTGACCAAAGACCACTAAAATCAAATTGAGTGTAGAACATAATTTTTGAACATAATGGTGTAAATTTGAACTAAATTTGTTGAGCGGTTCATAAGATAACTCGTACACGTGTACTTTTCTGTGGACATAAAAGTGATTGCTTCTAGTGTGTAAATCTCACTTCACTTAATGACTATAGGTGATGAAAATGCACGCTGTGTGACTTTTAATTGGATTTCTGTGAACACCATGTAGAAATGAGCCATGATCTCAGTTTCTATGGAAATGCTTAGAATGACAACTTACTTGTCACCCGGTATCTTGTAGATATCCTGCAGACCTTCTAGGTGAACAACAAACTCATCAAACTGCCCCTTGCTGAAATAACAGAGGAAATCATGTCTGTTACAGAGTCTCCTTTAAATCATGCATTCACTTCCATTATTAATTCTAAACTCTTCAAAGTAAAATCAAACCAATACTTATATAATCCACAGGAGTCCAATTTAAATGGATGCCAATTAACAAGAATAAATCTACATGTAATAAAAGCAAGGATTTTAGTAAATCCTAAAAAAACATTTCTTAAATTACATTTTTAAGTAAATGATCTAAACATGTACTCTACCTTAATATTTCTGTAAGCTCCTCACAACTCTGTGAAAAGAAAACAATGGATGATCAGTGATGAAAATACATTCAGAAACAAAACAAGATTCAGATTCAACCCCCTTTAAATGGAATAATAACAAATTGCAAAGGTGTCTTAAAGTTGTTGAATATTGGCAAAAAATATTTCTTAAATACGTTTTTGTCATAATGAAATAATTGTTGAACTTGCCCAATACATGACATACAGAATAACCAAAGATTTGGTACCATTGCTGGATTAACAAAATGCATTTTAGTAATCCTTCTTTTAAATACTTTACCTGTAATATAACAAGCCACAAAGCATTTGATGTCATTTTTCGCATAACAAAGCAAGTATTTTTCACCCATTAACTGTTAAACATCTAAAAGGTAATAATGATATTACCGTTGGATCTCCATTGTGAAAAACCTTGACATCCTTAACTACACCCCCAGTTTCCATGATAATTTCCACACGGAACATCTCCGAGCTGATGACAGCACGATTCTCTGGTGAGGAAGGCACACTGAAGCTGAGACCAAGCTGACGGGCTATGGATTCCAACCTCTCCAGTAAAGACTGTTGATTCACCACTGAAAATAGTGATACATATCATTATATGTCACAACCTAAATATCATCTAAAATATCGGTAAATAACTGCACCTATAGTACAGGTACATTTCATAATTCCATCAAATAATATACATCTGTATATGTCATTCAATACACACAGATTTAAGATCATTGATACATGATTGATTGAACAAGATATATCATCATCATTCAGATTACATTGATCTAGCACCTTAATATATCATCACATCCAGAAATCATTTTAAACGTTGTACCTTCACCAACGGTAAAAGTGTATTTTATTACAATTTCAGTAGCAGTCATTTTATCTACATGCTGTATTAGTGACCTACAATTCAAAATTTATCCCCTGGATAGACAAAATACCCTGTTCTTAATGTAATTTGGTTCCTAAATCTGAATGTAGACTAAATTACAATATAGATACATTTACAGTTTACTGAAAACCACACTAACAATAAGTTGAAAATGAAACAAATTTTTTAAGAAGAACTCCACAGCATTGTCTTTTTGTCTTCAGTCCTACTCTTTATAATGACTCAAAACAGAAATAATTAATATTTATCTTGATATGGTTTCAGAGGTTTTTGCCCCCAAATCCATCAAATTTTAAAACTCATAAAATTAAACTCGTTAATTATTAGCCTGCTATTTCATTTACACTGTTTCATGAATAAAAATGTTTTGTTTAAAATAAAAGAAATATCTCTTTTCATATAAATTTTGTTTTGGTATTAGTTGTGTTTATAACCCACCACAAATGGTTCATAGTCTTGATGTATAAATGTGGGGTTTTTTTTTTGCCTTGAACATCAAACATCAAAGTAACCACTTTTAATTATCACAAATCTAAATTATTCAGTCAACTTTTAAAACATTTTTTGCATAATTTTCCCTTAAAACCTAAAGAGCATATTTTTAAAAAGATATCCAGTTCTACACAACATTTAAATTTATAATACATTTATGTAATTAACATTCAAATTGTAATGTACAAATTTTTCAGGAATCATTTATAAACTCTGCCAACATCTAATTGTTTAGGCAAGACCCAGAGCAAGTCAAGTAAAACAAGCTTTCACGATAAAACCAACAGTATAGCTGATCAGCACATACAATATGTGTATATTTCTACATGACGGCAGTGAAATGACAACGAGGTAGACACAGATCGTCTGTCATTGTGGGGTTGAAGGTCAGGGACGGTAATCAATATACTACACACATGTATTGATTTCACTTCAACATGGACACAAATATTGGATGTGTGGCTATACAGACATCCATCCATCCACAAGGTCTCTGAGGCACATATTGTAACTGTTGGGAAAACAGCTGTCTCTACTCTTATATCAGTAAATAATTTGAATTTATTAATTTTATAACCCAGTGTCCAATATCCCAACCACTGCCTTATCATCTTCCATCTGAACCGAGTTTTCACAGCTGAATCAATGAAGTGTCTCCTACCACAATGACTAGCTGTGATGAACAACAGTCAATATAAACATCACACGTGTGTCTATCCTGTCTGCACAATAATCTCCTTTCATTCATACACACATATATACATATTGGAAATGCTGATTATTAGGAAATTATCATTCATATCGTATATGCTCATGAATGAATAATGAATATTCAAATTTCTAGGGAAAAATCCATGGTTTATGGTCCAATCCTACAGCATAACATGTTTTGTTAATACCAAACTCAGATCAAAATTTAGATCAAAATTTGAAGTTGTAATAGCACCTTCAATAGTTTAATTAAAAGAATGAATAACAAAATATATGCCAACACAACATATTTAAATCAATTCTTCTAAAATTACAAACCAATGACACTGTGTATCTGTACAAAACTTTCAAAAAAACTGAGTTATACAATCACAAGGCTGAAACACATTATTTGTGAAGAAAACCACGATCAATTTGAACATACCATTATATGTGGTGTATAGGAAATTTAGTTTAAGGTATCAGACCATGTATGAACATGACATAGTATCTACTACAATATCAACAATGCTTGTTGGTGCCCATCATTGTCAAGGACGGGAATATTGTACCAAGCCCAACCACACTCCCATTTAAATATTCTTATCATGATCACGCTAAAAGAATATTTGACTTTCTAATAATAATCAACACAGACTTAATATTCCATGTAATTATCATTGATAAAAAGGATTATTTGACACTTGAAAAAAAAATTATATTAACATGTATTCAATTACAAAATTACCACATCCTGAAATAAAACACAAAAGCACATGCATGACCTATCTTACATGAAGCAAATCTAAAAACCCTTTTAGCAATCATAATAAAATACTTTATCCAGAACACCAAACTCTGTCTGAACATCCATGCTTAAGACCGGTCTGCAAGATTCTGAATACTTTTACCCATGTTGTCTACTTTTTGACACAAATACATCATGATGGGTTTTATTTACACTAACAAATGAGCAGGTATCAGATGGCAGTACTAGTCTAGTGGACCAGGTTTTACAGCATGTGGAATAGGATTCATCCAACACTAGTACCTTCATACCAGTAACACAACCCCGAAAATCAATAAAATTTGGTTCTCCCATGTTAACCTGTGTCAGTGTAGGAGCTGCTAGTTGTTAAACAAAAATGTCTTGGAAATCATAATTTGAGAAAATGACGTCAGAACATTACATTAGAGTCTGTTTCTACGTCTGAAAAGCTGAACAACAACAAGTTATTACACTCCAATAACTATGACTAGCAATATGTACGCATGTCATGAAAATTCTTACAGATAAATCTAAATATTCTCATAAAAATACGAAATATTTCATATTCAATATCCAATTCTATTCTTCTTCATATGATTTTAAGATATCAAGTCCTCACTGTGGGTTGATGTGTTACAGAATACCCTGTACAGTCATTACAATATAAGGCAGTTGGAGAAAGATTATACCGAACATGGATCAGACAGCTAGATTGACGACCCAACAGATTTAAGGCTCAGTACAAAGGTTACAACATCATTACAAGATAACAGCAGAATTAGCACCTTTCTCTATCTAATTATTTATACCGAGTTTAGCCAGTATCATGGTTATCATCAGTCTTCATTCAACAGAACTGAAAAATTCAGCCAAATTTTCATAAGGACTTGAGTAAATTCAATGCCAATATCGAATACAAAGGATATTAAACTTTGTTAATATAAATATACTCCATCTTTAAATGACCAAATTCCATTATATATGTCTTCACATGTTCTCGTATATCTTGTGTCTCTACTTCCACATGGTACTATACTACTAGCTAAAGCATTGACCAAGTGTCATTTGGACATTTCTTCTCCAACCCTACTCAAGCTTTACAATTTCAACAGAAAAATCTATCAGCAAAGCAAATTTTGAGGAATTAATGCTAAGTACAACATTTATGCATAATTATATATCACACTTGTCCTGTTTTATTTGTATGGTCTTTTTTTAAAACAACATACAAAATACACCAACATTTATCTCCATCCTCCCAAAAACTGAATTTCCGAATTAATTTTATTTAATGATGTCATGTTTAAAACATTAACATATAGAAAAATACATGAAATGAAAATTCTGCATACTCTTCAATTCCCACCAGAGTTCACACAAATATGACATCTTCACCTCAAATATTCACTTCTGCTTTAGTTTGTTGTAAAATTGAAACAAGTAATGTGAAATATCACACAAGTTTACCTGCCCCTTCTCAGAAAGAGTGATATGTAACAAATCATGGAGACTTTGCAGACATTTATCAAAATCTGAATTTTTTTTACCGAAAATTCACCAAAGATAAAATTCATGTTTTTATTTTGGTTTGCTGAGATGTCCACTGTACGATATATTCTAGATCTAGAAGGAATAGCTTGTACTCTCGGAGAAACTGAGCCTAACGTGAAGTCTAGCTGCTCAGCATCTGTAATTTTCATAGTTGCTGGTCCCTAATCCTGGAGGAACTTTTGTAAATATATCTACTGAGGTGTTTATTTACTACATAATCTAGCTATATACCAAATTTGCTTCAAGTTAAACTGAATACTTTTTTTCAGAGCAACGGATCTAAACACAAAACTTTAAAGTGAAATAATGATGCTGTAACACAACACTCTTTCTTTTATCACCTGTGAGACAACACTGAATAATAATATCTATAAAGATAATTTAAATTGCAAATGTATGCATGTTATCAACATTGCATTAACATTTTTTTGATTCCCATGACAGCAATTATAAGCATGTATTTTTTCTCCTGAAAATATATATTGACAGATTTTCACTACCTTTAATGGCCCGATGCAGTTTATCTAAGCATGTCTGTATGTGCATCCGCTCCAAAGCATCCGACTGCTGCCGCTTATCCTGTCAACATGATCATCATCAATATTAACCTGTATCTCTCATATACAATGTTTATATATAAAGTATAATCATATCATCAGATCACTGTATAACTTTTGAAGGAGACTAGATGGAGCTTTATCATTTTTTCTATAAGAGATGAAAAATGGAAAAGTGTGAATATGAACAAGCTAATGTGTCACTTACATTCATGATGGCCATGCGGACAGCCTTGATGCTGTCAGCCCAGGTTTTGTGCTGGGAAGCTCGTCCATGTAGTTTTTCCATCAGGAGAGACAGAGTTTGACCCTGTTCAGCCGAAGCTTCTGTTAAAAAACAAAACAATGTCTTGTTAAAATGATTTCTATAATTCCCATTTTACCCCCTAAAATATTATAATCAACAATTCACACTCACATAATCAACTTCTTACACTCAAACCATCAACATCTTACATTCTTGACATCAAAATCTGACACTCACATCTCCATTTTCTTACACTCACTTTTTACACTCAAATTATCAACATCTTACACTCACATCACCACTACCTTACACTCAAATCATCAACATCTTACACTCACATCACATACATATTACACTAACATCACACTCACATCACATACATATTACACTCACATCACATACATCTTACACTAACATCACATACATATTACACACACATCACATACATCTTACACTAACATCACATACATATTACACTAACATCACATACATATTACACTCATATCACATACATGTTACACTCACATCATCAACATCTTACACTAACATAAACAACATATTACACTCACATCACAAACATATTACACTAACATAAACAACATATTACACTCACATCACATACATATTACACTCACATCACCAACATCTTACACTAACATAAACAACATATTACTCTCACATCACAAACATATGACACTCACATCACAAACATATGACACATCATCAACATCTTACACTCACATCAAATACTTATTACACTCACACCATATACATATTACACTCACATCACATACATATTACACTCACATCACATACATATCACACTAACATAAACAACATATTACACTCACATCACATATATATTACACTCACATCACATACATATTACACTAACATAAACAACATATTACACTCACATCACAAACATATGACACTCACATCATCAACATCTTACACTCACATCAAATACATATTACACTCACACCATATACATATTACACTCAAATCATCAACATCTTACACTCACATCATTAATATCCTACAATCACAACATAAAAATCTGACACTCACATCATCAACATCTTACACTCACATCATCAACATTAAACACAAACTAAAAATCTTAATCTTCTCAACATCACTTTACATTATGCATCTTATACAGATCTGTAATGACACAAATACCTTTATTTTATAGAATAATTTTATTTGTATGAAGTGAAAAACAAGAAATACAATCATTAATATGTTGAAGCATCATGTTACACATATACTATAATACCAGTGCAGGTGGAGTCTAGACTTAATTAATGGAAGCTGCACTGCACACTTTTCTACAGATATATATGTAACCTCATTTTAATGTTATCAAGGACACACATAATTACAACATATGTATTTTTTTAAGCAGAAATTTGAATCCCATGACTCATCTTGATTGGACTGAGTGACACCTTAAATTTCCATTGCTACACATATCACTTAAACAGTCTAAAAGATACACACAAACCCTACACTTACCATAAGGCTGCACAACTTTACTTAGATCATCAATCACAAGCAAAATTTCAAGGATAATATATTTATGGCATTCACAATCTTTGATAAATTTTAGAAACTTGACATGAAAATAATCCACCATCTATTTAAACTTCTTATAATAAGATTGCTGGTAAAAACCATTTTTATTCATCTATGTGAAATATAACTGCATTACAGTAACATGGTAATTTGATACATATAGTTGTGTAATGTCTTTTTTTTTTTTTTTTGAGAAGTGCTGTAGAAGGGTATTGAAAAATTAATAATGTATCAAAATATGAAACATGTATATTGATCCTAATTGATCTTGAGGTTTCAATACGTGAATAATTGATCCTGTAACAACACTGGATTTATGAAAGAAATAAAATCATTCCTACATAAAAACAGGCTTTAGATTCTCGGATTATCCTAAAATCATGATTACCAACACTAGAAAACCTGATGACAATCTATTGCTAAATGTTCGTAATTCTAAATGAATCATATTATAATTATACAATGTAATATGATATAAAATGTCGTTGCTGATTATTATGGTGTGGTTGTCACTGTTGTTTAGATTAAGTCTGTACATTTCCACATACAGGTAACTTTTAACCTGATTAACTAAAGGTAAAAATAACAAAGTGTACTGAAATTTAGAAGCTTTTTTTCATTTCAATTAATTTTACTGATATACAACTCAAAGGAATTGGGCATCCCAGCACTGCCTAGTGCTCACATACACCGCTTGCTTATATCAAGCTAAGCTTAACAAAGAGGGCAAAATTTCAGAACAATTTGAACTCATCAAAAGATGCAGGGTATATTACAGACTGAATAATATATGACTGATATATATACAGCATAGACTCTCCCCTGACCCAGCTTCAGACTGGTTTGGAAATTCAATAAAAGTCAGCCTCCGGAAAACCTGAAAGCATTTTCTGTCATATTCTAGAATGACCCTGTCGCCACAAATAAATCAATACTTACAACTAGTCACTTGAGCTAATATAAGGTGGTTATAAATATAATTATCAGTAGTCTCCACAGCTATTTCATGTTTTTCCTGTATGTACTGTTTGACAAAGTTTCGATTCATTCAATATTCTCAAATTCATAAGGTAAACACGAAATTACTACCTACATATAAATTTAATAATTTTGTAGTTTTTTTTTTCAAGCAAGTCTAGAACGCCATTTCCAAAATTTTGATGAGTTCCATTACTAAGAGATAAAGTGGATACTCAAATTTTAGTAAGTCCCACAAAAAAAATCCTGACATCAGGACTTAAAATATCTGACTGCCAAAAATAAAATGTCATTTTCTTTACATTTTTCTTGTACTGATTATTAAGATTTGTTAGGTACATCTATCTCCTAGAAATTTTGGATAAAGTAAACCCAAAACTGAACCTTATGTGAAAGTATATTGGGTATAAGTACAGTCAGAAATAGCATTACCCGATAAAAAAAATGCATGCAAACATCAATTTACAAATTAATCCATGTACCAAACTAACTATTTTTTCTTTGTTTTTGTTTCAAACTAACCAATAATATTTGATGAAAATAATCACATCCAGTGGTACTATCAAAATGATTTTTTGTTTCTCCAACCAAGTGATTGATTTTTAAACTATTTCCCACTAGACAGAGTCCTGTTTTCTTAATAAACCAAGCTATACCGTTCTCTCTTTCCCTAATTTCCTCTTGTTCCTATATCAGAAGTTTGAAATACTGACAGATATATCTGATGAGGACATCTGATATATGGAGCCAGACAAAACCTTACCTTTCCAGAAAACATGGCTTCTTTGATAAAACGACAGATTTGTTAAGAAGTGTTAATCATAATTGTATGAGCTGAAACTGAAACCACTGTAGTTAATACTGCAGTGCAAATCATACATTTATAATCACTGTATTAGAAATAATTGTTGTATAATACTAATTGTTATAATTGTAATATTACCATTGGAGGTAAAACAATCTTCTACCCACACTGGTATGAAAAAGGTGTTTATCTAATTGGTGATTTTGTTAAGGATTTTAGTAATAACACTTTGTTTTCATATGAGGAATTTATTCAGAAATTTAACATAAACACTGATTTTTTGAAATATTATGCAATAATTTCAGCAATAAGGAAAAGCTTGCAGAATTATAATATTGTTGAGTATAAATTTATACGTCCTACTCTACCAGTCCACATATCTATTTTTTTAGATATCAATAAAGGTTCAAAGAGATTTTATGGAATACTTAACAATATTAAATCACTTGTGTCCAAGGGAAGGGAAAAGTGGGGGGAACATTTTGATTTCACAAATGATGACTGGCTAGCTATATATACATTACCTTTTCAAGTCACTAAAAGCTCCAAATTTCAATGGCTACAGTTTAGAATTTCCCACAACATCTTAACTACAAACTCATTTCTTTTTAAAGTAAGGATATTAGATAGTCCTTTATGTACTCTCTGTAATGCTGAGACAGAAACAATTGTACACCTGTTTTGGGAATGTGATGAAGTCCAGAATCTTTTGCAAAGTATAGATAGATTACTAGATGCTTTATATATTCCTTTTACTGTTAACAAACAAACAATACTTTTTGGCAAGATAGATAATGGGACCAACCTAATATATAGTGTTGATAACCAAATTATTTTACTCATAAAACAATATATTTACAGAACTAGATGTTTACATAAGTCCCTCAGCATTAATGCTCTAACCTGTGCCATCCATGATTATTATAAGGTTCAAAAATATATCACGTATACTAAAGGGGAAAGGGTTAAAGACAAATTTGCACTAGGGTGGAAAAAATGGGAGAAATTTATAAAAATCATGAACGACTAATATTACTACCACTCTGTTACTATATCGATATATGATTTTTTTACTCAAACATAATTAAGATACTCAATACTTAATTTTGAATATGAATCAATAAACCTGATATGGTTACCAGTCCCTGACAATGGCCATCATCTGTACCAACAAATTTTCAGTTTGGTAAATTATTTAAAATCACCATCTGCTTTATATAGTTTTATTTAAGTCTTGAATTCCTTCCTGTTTCCTTCCCTATCTGCTTTCTTTCTCTCTTCCTCTCTCTAGCCATCTGCCTTCTTTCTCTCCTCTATCTAACCATTTTCTATCATAATCTGTCTCTTCTCTCCTTTTTTCTTATATGTATGTATGTATGTATGTATGTATGTATGTATGTAAGGGCGTGTGTGTGAACTTCTTTGTGTACATACAATGAAAAAATGCAAAAAATAAAATAAATATAAAAAAAGTTGATTATTTATGCTGTACATTAGATATATGATGAACACTCACAATTTGACAAATCCGTAGATGATGATGATGATGATGATGATGATGATGATGATGATGCATGTTAGTGATGATGTGTATGATGATGCATGCTAATGATGATATATATGTGTATTAGGATGATGTGTATGATAATACATGTAAGTGATGATGTGTATGATAATACATGTTTAATGATGATGTGTATGATAATACATGTTTAATGATGATGTGTATGAGGATGATGTGTATAATAATACATACATGATATGTATGATGATACATGTTAATGGTGATGTGTATGGTGACGATGTGTATAATAATACATGCATGTTTAATGATGATGTGTACGGTGATGATGTGTATAATAATACATGCATGTTTAATGATGATGTGTATGATGGTACATGTTTAATGATGATGTGTATGAGGATGATGTGTATGATGATACATGTTAATGGTGATGTGTTGTATGATGATGATATGTATGATGATACACGTTAATTGTGATGTGTATGGTGATGATGTGTATGATAATACATGTTTAATGATGATGTGTATGACGATACATGTTAATGATGATGTGTATGATGATGATGTGTATGAGAATATATGTTTAATGATGATGTGTATGATGGTACATGTTTAATGATGATGTGTATGATGATGATGTGTATGATGATACATGTTTAATGATGATGTATGTGATGATAATGTGTATGATGATACATGTTGGACATATGTATGTATGTATGTAAGGGCGTGTGTGTGTGAACTTTTTTGTGTACATACAATGAAAAAATGCAAAAATAAAATAAATAAAAAAAAAAAAAAAATACTAAATGTTATCCTGTCCTTCATTCTGAGGACTGTCAGGGGTAACTCTGAGGTTTTATGTATGTTTTGTACAGTAGAAATACAGACGTATAATTACTAGTGATGCAATACCTTATTGCTTATAATAAGTAGATATACATTGGTTGTAACAACTTATGACTAATATAACTAAACACAAAAATAGAAATGGAAAGATATGTATCACTTTCATTGATTACTAATACAAATTAAACAGAATGTAGAATACAACAATCAACTTTCAGAGCCACACCAGAAATAAAAATCATGATATCATAACTAATAATAAATTTTGAGGTATAAATGTGTACATTATGTTTTCTTGCTTTCATATGCAAATTATAATTTTGCAGATGCTAAATACGGTATTATACTGATCAAATACTGATGTGTGGTATCCAATGAAATCATAGGAAAAAACATAAGTGTCATAACTACATTCATTATAAGGAAATGATAAAAAAGATGAACATTATACTTCAATGCTTTAGAAGTCAGTGCACATGGCCAATTATCCATCTCTAAAAGGCCAATCTCTGCTTCATATCTTTGCATGTATTTTTGAAAGTATATTTCTATGGATAGGCTTATTTGTATATTTTCATAATTTGTAACTTATTAGTTATCAAATTGTTACACAGTCTAGTAGATCAAATGACCTAATACAAGAATGTTACGAATTGTTACCTGTTGTTAAGTACGTTTCCTACATATAATAGCCCAATTTTATGATGAGAGATACTTTGATGAAATTTTGGACATGTTTATGTCTGTTTATCACATGACTAAGTTTAACAGAATTTTCATTGATTGATATTCTAGTATGAAATGCTCTTTTTAAAACAAGAGCAATTTCTCTTATGATAATACTTATTTCAGTTCTTATATTAAAAACGAAATACAAACAAAAAGCATAATTATTTCTGTATTTAAATAACAAGTGATAAAGCTTAGTTTAGCTATTGGAGTATATATTATACTACCCTTAATGGTTAATGTTATGTTCTGTTATCAATGTTCCCCATTAACGTTAAAATGACAGTACTATACCCCCTACATTTGTTTGAGGTTTGTTTTCCAGGACTCTCTTATACATATACATATTAAGGGGTAAACTGTGCCCCCAGTTTTAATAGACAAGAAGGAACAGTGGTTGTCCCTGTACTTTTGGTATTCAAATCTGTTCTGTTTATTTTTTCCATAACTGCAGTTATAACAAAATGTGTGACAAACTTATTTCCTTATACACATGCAGTGATGAATACGTGTTCTAATTAAGTATATTCTTCATTTTTTTTATGAACATCTGCATATTCTTTGTGCCTAGATATTTTTGTAAATGAACCTTGGCAAGATCAAAAACCTAGGTACATTCAGTTAAACAACAATATTCTTAATGAGTTAAATTGAAACCACTTGATTAGCAATATATAATAACAAGTGTTGATAAGATAAATCAGGCCATTCTCAAACTGCGATTAAATAAGCAAACAACATTTTATTCTAACTATATATAACTATATAATAAGATGAACCATAGTTTAACTATAAACAGAAAATAAGCATCTGCTCAGATTTATAAAAATGACCTGAAAACTGAATTTCTGAAAAAATGAAATTTAAAAGTAACATCAATTAACAATTTGGATCATAAATTTTACTGTGAGCCACATGTATGATTATAATTTTCAAAAACCTTGAATTTTGTAACTATAAATAAAGATATAGACATATATGACCATATCATTCCTCAACTGTTCAAAGCATCTATACAACACCAATTAAAGATAAAGGAGACACTATTTATACAGAAAATGATTGTTATGACAGAGAAAAATTTGAACACTCATGTCCATATTGATCAATAATGTAAAATACACTGAATATATTAATACATAACTATTAATGGTATCAACCTAGGCAAAATTTTTAGTATAGATGCATAATGCACATTTCCCTTTTTAAATCATTTCAGTAATATAATTTCAGTAGTGATTTAATTCAGGATTTTGTCTAATTTATTTTAATCACCAAAAGTCATCAAATAAATCTGAAAATTTCATGTTATATATATATAATCAAATTCAAAAGAAATTGTATTTTCATATATATCAATATCTATCCTGATTAACCTATTTATTGTAACATATTACAGTTATATGCCTGTAAGAATGACAGGTCTCAGTGCTGGTAAAACTGCTAAGTGAAGACATAAGTTCATGGCCTCTAAGTGCCCTGGGGGCTTACATGTAGTAATCTCACTGACCACACATATTTGTGAAAATGACAACAGCTATTGACTAGATTTGCTGTGTTGCGTTCATCAATATTCCCTGCAGGTTCTTCCAGCAAAGATATCAGAACAGTAATCAATCAACAATATGACTTGTAGTAGGTGACCACTCCACATGGTGTTGTACGTTTCCCTTTTATCCTTTAAACATGCATAATTTAGGGAAATAGGGTTCTAATTCTGCGTGACCTACTTTCAACTATGACTGCAGGTATTAAACAGTCGGACAGTTAAAACGAATTCATTGCACTCACTTATTGACGATAGCTTATGACTTCGATACATGAAAGTGACATTTTATAAAAGAGCACTTTATAGACAAAAAATACACTGTATAATTTGCTGGGCGTAATATTACGATACAAAAGTGGAAACTTGTATCTGGTTACGGATGTAAATTTTGGCTCCTTCCCAGCACTTCCAGTAGTAGAGAAATATCAACCGTAAATACCACTTACTTCCTTCTTCACAACTTCAACATCAAAGAGAGTTAATCCCTCAAAAACCTCTCCGTCATTAAAGTACACACACCATATCATAAATGATTACTTATGTTATTCCTGAGGAATCTACAAGAAGATGAAAACGAAACGCGAACAGAAATATTTGTTGACAAAGGGGTGAGGGGTCGCGAGAATATGCCGATTACTCATTTATCGTAATAAATGCCATCAAACAAAAGTCAAAACCCCGAAGTAATATCTTTTCAAGTGTAAATGCAAGACACAAATATGAAATTGGTAGACGCATACCTGTTCTATCTCCATGATTATCCCAGCTACTGGGGGTATCCCCCAATGCGGCTGCCATCTTTGATTTTTCTACATTCGATAGCGGCCTCTTGTCGCGATGTTTTCCACACACTCACACGGCTACATCATTGATACCGTGTATGATGTAACATTTTCGCCATGTTCTGTTAAATCTGATTACAAGCACACTCCCTAGAAGCCTAAGGTTTTCTAGTATCCATGGCTAAGATGGTGCAGTAGATGCACCTCATAGAAAATAAATGGGTTCTATCGGGGTCAGTGAAACGCAATCGGGTTGGCTGGCTCTTGTTGACGTCACGTAGGATAATAGATATTTAGGAATGACGTTTATAATATTTACATGAAACGAAAACGAAAAAAATATGTTTCTACATGAACTGGCAGAATCGATAAATGGCCACGCGAAAATCACATGAATAAACTCTGCAACTCGTTTTCCTATTTCATTCATGAACGTCAATGTAACATTTTCTCATATTTCCGATTCAATATAAAATATTACCGACGGGCCAAAATGGACATTTTCTAATTTTAGCACGTACATATTTACCTAAGCACTTTATATATGTTAGACAAGGCAATTTTGAGATGTATAGATACATTTTTATTTACTTCATATTTACGACCTTCAGGAATTATATGTAGAAGATTACACATTTTCAAATACCTTAAATTCGGTCTCTGATATTTCAGGTCTATGACTGAGAGGACCAAGAATGCAGTCAAAACACTTCATATTTATTAATTGACAAGAGACGGTTTTTAACGTCCTTTTATACCATTGTACTGTCATATTATTGCAGCTGGTGAAACTATTTGATTACTTTCGTATAAAATGAAGATTTACAAAACAGATTAACATATATTTTTCAAATGGAATATCATTTCCTTCCTTAATTTTCCTGTGCAATGAAAATGTCTATACAGTAATCATCTCACTGAACAACAAAAGGGAGGCCCGCTGCATGCCATCCAGAGCAACTGGGGCATAAGTTTCTTGCCGAATGACAAAACTACGACTACAAACAAGCACCTCGGATCTGAGGCCATGTACATGTCAACGTTCTACAGACTTGACTGAGCCTTATCGCGGTCAGAGTTTTCATACAGTTAAGGCATACTCAAAGTAAATACACTCGTATGAAACACAGGTACAACTTGAACATCGTTCGATAAGAAATAGGTAACAATATATGTAAAAGAATTATATAACTGCGGGAAATGATATTAAATGCCACATAAATAGCGAAATTCTCTCAATCTTTCACGTCACAGATTTTTAAACAAAATTTAAATGCCCCCCTCGGTGGAACAAATTTATTTTATTGGAAGTTTCTTTCCTGATGTCGCGAGAATCCGGAATTCTCGTGGTCCTACAATGACCCCTGTTTCTTCACTTTACAGTTTTAGTCTAACTGATTAGTGAACAGATTGTGGTGTTTTTTTTTCGGGTAATATATCTTTTTTCAAAATCTATTTTAAAGCTGCGATCCTACGACCGTAATCAGCGTTTATTCACGAAACTTTACGTAAATGAAATTGTTCTGTAAAATAATATATTTTCTATTAAAGAGGACGAGGGTAGAAATATGGTTCAATCAACGATAGTGACGCGCGAATCTGCTCGGCTCTCTCATTTTGCCGAAACTGAATTTAGAACAAGATCCTTATCTGAAATAGGCCAATATGTTTAAGGCTCATTCTACCGATGGTATTAATTATTTCAATTATCGTGTTTGTCAATTCTGACTCTAAAGAAGAGCTGCCCTTTCTTTAGAGACTGATAAAATTAGTTTGTTTCAGAATCAATAAATAGAACCATTACTCTTTTTGGGATATTTTTTTTCTCAGTAAAATTGGCTGGCAAAACAACTGTTTGTAATTTTGACTTAAAGCCACCAAGTTGAAGTTGTAAACGTACACATCAAAAATTATATCTCACACTTCAGTCAATTACATGTAATGCAATACAAAAACAAATTAAAACGTAAAATTTTATTTTAATTATTGCATAGTTTAACGTGAAAATGATCATCAAATGATCCGGCATGTCGCACATTCAATACGACTGGGTTTAACTCAGTAGTTCCGAGGACGACAGAACGATTTTGATCGCACTAATTGGAAACTGATATCAGGTTCACAAGATGTAACATTACTTACATTACGTCATACGATAGATCAACGCTAATTTGTAACATATCTTACGGAACTAATTCCACTACACTCTGTAAAGTACTCGTTGAAATGAGGTGCTACTAGGTTTTGCAGGCAAATCATTCGAATGAGTTCTGTAAAGTAGTCATAGTAAAAAGTTGCTACTACGTTTTGCAGATAACTTATTCGAATATGTAAAGAACTCGTAGAAATGAGGTGCTTCTAAGATTAATTGGTAAATTATTCGAATGTATTATTTACAGTACTCGTAGAAATGAAGTGCTATTAGGATGCGCAGGTCAATTTATCATATTGTGCAAAGCTCTATCATCTATATTGACCATAAGTTTCAAACCAATGCAGTTCCGTAACCATATATTTACATTTTCCCCTACGTACGTCGCTGTCTTACATAGATTTGAAGTCCGTTGAAATAAAAAAAAAAAGTAAATTATTAATTACCGACAGTACGATTAATCACATTCATAGCACTCGCACCGTCATCGTTTCTTTTTGCCCACAACCTAGATGTCATTATATGTCACACTTTGTTCCGGTAAGTCTAGATATCAGTATCACTGTACAAATGTACAATGACGTTTATGGTCGTTACAATTGACAGAACTTCGCAAACAACATGGTTTTCTTGCAAACATTCTGTCACTTATATCGATCATACATGCTATAATAAGCCAATGTGTCAACTGGTTAAAAAAAACTAGCCGTAATGTGCCGTTTCGCTAGAGAGAACTTCTCGTTAGTTCGATCGATTTAGCGTTAGACCAGTAAGCCAGATGTTCTGGGTTCGAATCTAGCAGATACATTACTGTCACACATCTATCGATGATAATTTGAAGAACTAAGATAAAATCACGCTACAGTGATGACGTTGTACTGGTCATGTGCTAGATAGTGTTTATCGTCCTATATTTCGAGTTATGTCTGATTAGTCTATATCGAGATATACTACACTACGTAAAAATTATATCGTATTGTTTGATCAAATAATATCAGATATATGCATATATTTATACATATATTTCAAATTTGAAGGCTGTTGAATGATGAATACAATACACAGTGTATCATTTTCATATTTACAGGTAGGATCGTGCAGTATAACATAATTTCATTTCACTGCGAAGAGAGACAACTCTTACAGACTTATCACGATACCTTAGCTAACGCACGCGACATCCCAAAATACCACAAAACAATTGCTAGTGGGACGTTACTATAGCTGTGCTATTTCACTTTCGGAACTTGAATTAACCGCTAAGTCATAATAAAAAAAGGGGTAGTAACTCTGTCAGGCATGTTTTTTTTCATTATTACAGATGAAATCACACGCCATAATAACAAACTCGTATAATAAATCTATCTTATTTAATGCTGTTTGAACCTCAAAACATGCTTCAATCTATTATCATCGAAAAGAATAAACTGTTTCGAATATTTTGAAAGTCATTTCTCAATTGCACGTTTACTGCTTTAATGAGATATGTACAAAATGTGATGAAAAGAGGCGTATCTGTTTTGTCAGAAGCTATTGTCGTTTATGTATCTTTAAAAGTTTGCAGTTAGGAAAGTTAAAACATAACTTTACTTTATGGTATCTAATTCTGCACAGAAACTTGCTATTCACACGTGTGTCTATTGTACAATCTTAGACACGTATACACGAGAAGCAAGGGAGGCGGTTTTCAAGGTTTCGATGTTTTGATGTCTACACAACTAATAAAGACAAAGATATATTAAATGACAAAGTTTGATATACGTTCAAGACATCGACATATCTCTTTTTTATCTCCTCTGTATATAAGATGACGACCGGAAGTATCTGCTTTTATAGGTAGGTTTTCTAGATGGTAAAATTAGAATGAATTAAGGAATAATAGCAATAACAACTTTCTTTATTGCACAATAGTTATTGCTTGTTTTTGGGATCGTGGTTATTTTCTTATCTTTGTACATAATGAAGCATTGTCATGTTTCCGGCTAAGTGTGACCAACAGAAGAACGATTGTCTTTCTCCAGGCGTTTGTCACATCAACAGAATAAAAGTTTGGGGAGAGGTGGGTATGGGCTGGACCTATTCCAACGTCATAGAACGATGTCATTTTAAAGTGAGAATAGTATCAAGACGCCTCACATGTCCTGAACTCTGCATTACTTTTTCAGTTCATCAAGTGTGTGCAAACAATCACAATTTTCTCTGTATGACCGCAGAACTAGATTTTTGTCTTTTTAGTTTTACTTTTTTTTTTAATCTTTTAAGAATATTGGACCAAGATTGATCACTTGAGTGATACGACTTCTGCGATATTTCCGGTTTTTGAACGCCGTGCTCCACAGCCACCTTGATTTTGGTGTTACCTTACATTTTTTCAGCACCTCTAGACACGGTCATACCACTGATCGTGGTGTAGTTACTTGATATCTTCAGCACATGCCATGTAGTGTCGAAAAATTATAATGATAACTAGAAAAAGAAGGCAAGATTTCAGAACCGAATGTTAAAATGATCTGCAGAAAGAATTTAGGTATAATCGACAAAATCAAGTTTTAAACATGCTATTTACTCTGAAATAAAATTCAATTTGTCTTAATTATAAAGACAAAACACACACACACACACACACACACACACAAAGAGGGCTACGATAGCTCAATCGGAAGTTCTGGTGTTCCTGTGTTCCTGAGGAGGCTGAGAAACGGGGCGGTTGTTTCCTTGAACAAGACACTTCCTCCAAATGTTCTAGATGACTTGTGATTGGGGTAGTCACCATCTAGTACCACAAGGAGGCCACGCCCAAGATTGCCCCTTGCTGTTGGTATCCCATTCCATAATGCCTTACGAAAATAGACGTGTTAATTCCCATGAGAATGCCTGTTGGTTCCGTTTTTGTAAACATCGTTCTATGTTAAGAACATATCATCTTCACCTTGGACTGACCAAGTATTACACGACCGATGTTGTCAATTAAGCAGAAGCCGCGGGTCCAAATTCGAGGCGCAAAGCGCGGTGTGTGGGTTAGGGTTGGCACAATCCTCTCCTGATGGGAAGAGAGGTCCCCCGTAAATTGCTAAAAGCTAGATTTAAAATGCCGGCTCCAATGACTCTCATTTACTGCCTTATACGTATTCATTGTAGTCCAAGTCTAGTTTTCCCTCTGATATTTTCAAGATACATGTAACTTTTGATGGGATGTTTGCTAATATCCTATTTGCATTTTCAGACTCAAGGTCAATGATGACACCGGGTCAAATACTTGTTATTCAGTAAAATGAAATTGGAAAATCTACATTCCCAGTACTTTGGCGTAATATCCTATCCTAGTATGGGACTTTGTGGCAGATCCAAACACAACCATTATAAATCTTCGCCTCATCGGCTGTAATAGACAATGAAATAAAGAGCAACAACCATGTGCATACATTTATAAAATTTTCTACACAATTAATAACTTAGTAAATAGCCACAGACCACCAGTGAAGAATAGATGACGGATGTCCGTTGCGTATATATACTTAATTAACGTATTATAGTGCAATTTTTCATGCATAGCGTTTATGTAATTTCACACTTTTATTACTCTTGTGGTCCGAACAAAAGGAGGGAGATCCGGGCTTCCTGACAACCTCGCCCATAGATAACACTGGGGCATGTATATTCAACTAAACTATTATATGTAGAGGTTGCCAAATACGGGAATATCATTTCAACTGTGTTTGAATCCAGATAAGCAAACAACCAACATAGTATATCTAAAGTGTTTAGTTAAAAAACTTTTGACGAAGCACAGAATACACAAAATTGACGATACGATAAACCAGTCATTGTCAGGAGGGAAACTTATTTCTATCATTTAAACCTTATTATGAAAGCAAGAAAACTTATGTTACGTTCGCGAGTTAAGGTAATAAGATCGGGTACATTTACTGCTGATAACACTTTAAACAACACGTTCACCGGTTAAGGTAATAAGATCGGGTACATTACTGTTGGTAACACTTAAAGCAACACGTTCGCCGGTTAAGGTAATAAGATCGGGTACATTTACTGTTGATAACACTTTAAACAACACATTCTCCGGTTAAGGTAATGAGATCGGGCACACTAACTGTTGGTAACACTGTAAGAAACACGTTCTCCGGTTAAGGCAATGAGATCGGGCACACTAACTGTTGGGTGGAGAGCATGTCCAGCCAATGTTTCACGGCATGATTCTGACACTAAAATTAAACACGTTCGCCGGTTAACACAAATTATGGTAAAATTTCAAGATTTAAGCGCACACACTGTTGGTAACTGTTGGTAACACTTTAAGCAACACGTTCGCCGGTTAAGGTAATAAGATCGGGCACACTAACTGTTGGTAACACTTTAAGCAACACGTTCGCCGGTTAAGGTAATAAGATCGGGCACACTAACTGTTGGTAACACTTTAAGCAACACATTCTCCGGTTAAGGTAATGAGATCGGGCACACTAACTGTTGGTGACACTTTAAGCAACACGTTCACCAGATATGGGTAATTTATTCAAAACTGAACCTGTCTTAATTAAAGCATGGACTGCGGTTGTTAAGGCGTATGAACGTGTTTATCACTTGTCCTCCACTGTGGATCGCAGGTTCGAGGCTCATTTCGGGCAGTCGCCAGATACTGGTCACATGTCGGTGTCTTTCATTCATGAACCAAACCTGGTTTGTCTTTAAATTATCATGGTTGTTGAAAGGACGTTAAGCAATAATAAACTAAACAAGCTTGATTAAAGCAAGACACGTGTCTCTCTTATAAAGAGTATTCTGTTGTTTGACATGGCAATTATCCGGACTAGTGAATTTCTTGTCTAGACGAGTCCTTTCTTTCCAAGAAAAGCGTCAGTAGTACAACGGAGGGGTCACTTAAAAAAATCTGGACCATTGTGCGATCACCTTTTCAATTCCACAATCGCCAAATTTGTTGAGAACTTACTTTTTCTCTTTTCAATAACCAATTGGTCTTACGGCATGGTGTTTATATAGTAGCGTACTTGTGGAGTGAACTTTCAAGCATAAACGGCTTAGTATTGAGTCCAATAGCAAAGATACACAAAGGAGGATTCACTCGTTCATTCATTTATTCATTCATTCATTTATTGTCGAAAACCAACTCATACAATAAGAATCCTAATCTAATTTAAAAACGAAGAAACGACGACAAAGTACGAACAAGAAAAATAATTTACATGCGGTGAACATAGAAAAGATGAAAGGAAGAATAAGACCAGACGGAGAGGTAAGTGTCTTCTTTCATCAAAGTCAACCGCCATGTAAGTCTTGGTCAATTCATTTCAGTATACACATAATATCACTATTTAAAATGGGAAATCTGGTATTTAATGTTGATCTTCTGTTACATTTTAAGTGTTTATTTAGTATCATTATTATTATTATTACATATTTGTTTCAGTTCTCTGACTTCTTGATTGATCTATGGTCTGTAGAACTGTAAGAGTTATCTCTCTTCGTCAGCAGTAGATGTTAAAAAATGTTCGTAAGTATGCTCCATTTCCAAAATTACAATCAACCATATCGGAAGTCCCATAATGCACTCAGGGAATCGCCATTTCCACTTTCAGAGTTGGACTTTATTTTAAATGTTTGAAAGTTTGGCTTATACCTTTAACCGGAGTGCACTGATCTGTAAATTTACTGGTAAGTTGAATATAAATTATGTTTATTTTTTCGTTTCGATCAATAGCCGTGAGCTTCCGTGTAAATGGTTTCTTTTTGTCGTTATGTTCAGCCGGCCAAACCCAAGTTAGTGGAGAACCGAAGATACTAAATACACTAACACAGTAATACACAATTTGTGTATCCCAAATTATGTCGCTATTTGTTGTATTGTAGCAATTGTTACAGTAATTTTGCAATAATTGGAAGTAGTCATACAAATATACCAGGAGCAATGACACATAACAAGCCGATATCAAAAATATAAATTACAGGGTGTCACACCCATTCATTTGTGTGTTTACATTTCCATCATGAGACACATGTTACAATTTCTGTACGCCATTCGTTACGAGTCCTAAGAAGTCCGCCACAGGAAGTGATTGTAACATGACTTTTTATGTGTTAACAGTTTTGTTCCGGTATTGATCTTGGTTCAATGTGACTGCTCCGCGGTTATTTCCCTTCTCTGTTTTACTATGATCATGACTCAGACATAAAAATAATGACTGATTCGTTCAAGAAATGACCAATATTTGTTCAGTGTAAATAGGTTGCTTATAACGTAGAGGAAAGAAAAGCAGTCTTGGAAAAATTTGATACTGTAACCAATAAAGGAGGATTAATATTTACTGGTGTGATACATTGGATTTTTGTCATGTTCAGTTGTTGGAACCGGCGACCCAAGCCTGCAGTCATGTCGAAGGCAAAGACACAGCAGCCTGCAGTTATACATAAAGTTATAATGGTTGGGAGTGGAGGTGTGGGCAAGTCTGCACTTACACTACAGTTCATGTATGACGAGGTGAGTTGGAGATATAAACATTCTAAATCAAGAGTAATATGAAATTATGATTAGTAATTTTCGTAGAATATTGCAGGTTAGTCCACAACACTAATTCCAAAATTTTTATGAGTCCTATAGTTCAAAATTTGAATGAATCCCACAGGAAAAGCATGTCCCATGTGTCCACAACTCAAATATCTTGATACCGAAATTCCTGAAGATATACAATTGATTACTTAAAATATGATAGGTAATGTCAAAGTATGCCATTATAGATTTATGTTAGCTGTCAGCGTTCTGTTTTGGTTTATGATTCATTATTCTATAATGCCTTCTTAAATAACGAAATATATGATTCTCCATTTCAAACTGGTCTATGTCATATGATACTGTTTCTACATATAAATGAATTTGTGAGAATCTTAAGAATCAAAATACTTGTAATGATTTGAATTTCATTTCATTAATTTATCTAGATTTCTCCAGTTTTTTTCTGTATATCTAACATATAGCGTAAAATTTCTGTCCCAAACTGGAGATGAAAATAAAATCGTTTTCACTCACATGATGTATTTTATTCTCAACCAAGTTCGTTACAGCCCTAGCTTCACCAATCCTTCTAACCTTTAAACAATCGTAACTGCCATAGAAAAGCATATCAAAAGTTAAGGGAAAACTTAAAGTTAAAGAAGATTCATGAAAATGGGACCTGTACATCAGGATGTTTTTGAACAAACATTGGCGAATAAGTTACATGATCAACAATCTCTTGTTTGTTAAAGTTTTTCAAACTGGAGATATTGTGTGTCCAGATTTTATTCTATGACAGTCTCTTTTGTAAGATTGCTTCTTAAGATTTCATAGAAGTCTATGTTGACATCTCCGTCTTTTCAAATTAACTTGGCTCTAACCAATTAGCAATAGATGCAGCTCCTAGATAAACATATACACATATACTACAGTGTAAGTTAAGGTCTTGGAACAATACATTATTGGCATATATTGTCAAATGACTTTGTTTAAGATCTATATAGCTATGTCTTGGCAGATGAGCCACAAGTATTCTCTTATTTTCACCAAATGATCGCATGTTGACTCATCTGTTTTTGTTGTTATACATACAACTACTGATAGGTTTCATCTGTAATTCTTATTTTGCAACAAAATCTGACTTCGTCATTTTTCAGAGTGCTTTTTGGTACTTAATTCATATTGTAATTTCACCACATACCAGGGTACATGATAAAAAAAAACTGATAAAAAGTCTTCTACAAGTGTAATATTATGATCAAAGTGTGTAATACTGGAAAGAATTTGTGCTGTCGTAATACAGGTCGAAAGTTGTTGTATGTGTATAACATAGTCTAGACTTGAAGGTAGGTGTCCTGGTCAATAGTCTTGTACTGGTGTATTACTGGTCAAGGAATTTATATAGGTGTAATATTTACCTAGGATATCATGATCTATTAATTGATCTGTCAGGAACTGTAATAAAGGTAAAATCTGATTCACTCATCCATCATACATGTTTACATGGTCAGATGAGTGGTGCCATGAACACTGATTTGTGATCATGACCCTGGTGTAAAAAGTGGCACTATAGTGCAAAATTATTATTTGACTGCAGCTGATCTAGAAGTAGGTCATCTCCTGGTCTATCACAGGAAGCTTATAGGGATACCCGACAGACACCAAGTCTTTGTCTGGTGCAGCATCACATGTATTGTGTATAATCTGTGGAACTGTAGACAGTGTGCACATGTGCTTACTATATATTAGCGTTGCAATTTGTATCATTTGTCTAAACATACATTTTATTTCCTTTTAACCATGAATTTGATCAAGGACCAATCACAGCCATGATATCGGTCACAATTTTTATTCCTGAATTGAATAAATTATTTTGTGCAGACGATATTAAAAATTGCATGACTCTTTGCTAAGGATTGTCTTCTTTCTAAATATATGTGATTTTAACATCAGAACTGAAAAAAGAGAAACGACAACCATGTTGTAATTGACTTGATGTGTTTTCACTGGTAAACATGTGCTGATAAATCACTGTAATGCTTGCTTGTTAAACTTGTTTAGTTTGCATCTATTGAATAAAAGCGTCCTGATGAGCTAGTTATCGAAATGACCTTTGGTATAAAAAACAGTTTAGAAACCTGTATTCCAGTAAATATTAATCTGATTCCTACACATTTTACAATGAACATCTAACTAGTTGTTAATACTGATATTATTTTACTTATCCATACACACTTGAATGCAAATCTATTTGATGTTGTTTTCTCTTTGATACCAATGTCAGTGGTTTTGGGACTCCGATGTTTGAGTCCTGTAGTCATGGTTTTCCTATGGGACTAACTCCAATTTTGAGAATCCATTATATCTCTTAGTATTGCGACTTATCAAAATTTTGGAATTGGTGATCTGGGCTCGTCTGAAAAAATCAAACAAATTTTTTTTTTGGTTATGTAAGTGAATATGTAAAAATATTGAAAATATGTTTTGTGAAACTGCTTCATATTTGTAACCTTTTAGTGTACTAAAGACTGTTTTCAATTGATGAGATCATATTTTAAAATCTAAAAGGAACATAAAATACCAGAATTGAAAAAGGTCACAACTAAAAACAGGAGTATTCTGTAGAAAGTTATTCAGTGTAGAACGATGGAAATGTATCGGGAGCCTCCATTTCACAGCTAGATTGTAAAATTGCTGACATCTCTATGCTTTAAATTCCCATTAGGACAGCCGGGAACAGCCCCTCTTCCTAATTAAGCTCATCATCGTAGGCTCTGCATACCTCTAGATCTTGTCAAAAAGAAAAAAAACTTGACCCTCATAATATTTATGGGAGAATTATCACATAGTAACTGTGATCCAATATTCCAGTAATTTTTCTTCAGAAGATTGGATATATTTTAGTCTCACTTCTGTGAATTAGTTTAATGTACTACCATTGGTCATTATATAAGGGGTGCTTAAGGCATGAATAACATCAAAAGGTTACCGAGTTGTTGCTATAAGCTTATAAGTTTTCATGTGATTTAATAATTATCATATCACTTTATCAACTAATGGTGAAGTAGATTCATGTAGCCTAGTACTAGTCATTGCTAATCAGGACTTTGAAATCAGTCCTTTAAAAAATGTATGACCCTACAAATTGTTGATAATGTAAGTATAATAAATACAACTTATAAAGTCTACCAGTATGAGAGTATAAAGACTAACAGTATGAGAGTATAAAGACTGCTGGTAAGAGAGTATAAAGACTACTGGTATGAGAGTATAAAGACTACTGGTAAGAGAGTATAAAGACTACTGGTATGAGAGTATAAAGACTACTGATAAGAGAGTATAAAGACTACTGGTATGAGAGTATAAAGACTACTAGTATGAGAGTATAAAGACTACTGGTAAGAGAGTATAAAGACTACTGGTAAGAGAGTGTAAAAACTACTGGTATGAGAGTATAAAGACTACTGATAAGAGAGTATGAAGACTACTGGTATGAGAGTATAAAGACTACTGTTATGAGAGTATAAAGACATCTGGTTTGAGAGTATAAAGACTACTGGTATGAGAGTATAAAGACTACTGGTATGAGAGTATAAAGTCTACTGGTAAGAGAGTGTAAAGACTACTGGTATGACTACTGGTTTGAGAGTATAAAAACTGCTGGTACAAGAGTATAAAGACTACTGGTATGAGATTATAAGGACTACAGGTATGAGAGTATAAAGACTACAGGTAGGAGAGTATAAAAACTACTGGTTTGAGAGTATAAAGACTACTGATACAAGAGTATAAAGACTACTGGTATGGGAGTATAAAGACTACTGATACAAGAGTATAAAAACTACTGGTTTGAGAGTATAAAGACTACTGATACAAGAGTATAAAGACTACTGGTATGGGAGTATAAAGACTACTGGTTTGAGAATATAAAGACTACAGGTATGAAAATTTAGAGACTACCGTATGAGAGTTTAAAGACTACCAATACAAGAGTAAATAGACTACAGGTACGAGAGTTTATGAATAATACATAAGTAAAGTACAATGCTGAAAATTACCAGCACCTTTATTACCAAATATTGTCTAGTTAATTTTTCTAAAATTTTGATGAGTCCAGTTACAAAAAGATATAAAAGGTTCTCAAAGCATGTCCAACAAGAAAAAGAAGAGTCGAGGACTCCAATACAGATTACAGTATCTGGTAAGATGTCAGAATTGGATAGTAGGACAAGGTTGAGGATGATCTGGAAGGGAAGTTATGTTAGGATAATGAATTTGGGATAAGATCATGTCAAGGTCACGAATGATATTGAAGGGAAGTTGTTTTAGGATAAGATGACAGATGTAGTGTAACATACGCTATTGAATCAACATTAGAGAATCAGTGTGGATGAAAGACCTATGTCGTAAGTAAATGTGTATGACCAGGTCATTTCACAGACTGCATGTGAATAGAGGAAGTTGAATCATAATGTAGTTAACTAGAATTACTTGTGCAATTTGTTTACTCTAAGTTTTTGATAAGGATGATGTAATGTTTTGTTAGTTTCTTAAAAGTACCTTCTAAACTTATTCTGTTTTAGGAAAATGTTGTAATGTTTTGTCAGGTTTTCCCAAAAGTAATCCTTTGTCAGGTTTTTAGTTATTTGATTGCCAGGTAGAACTATATATAGATCTTATACTCATGCGATGCTCTGTCTCAGGTTTAGTACTGAATATATAACTTACACTCGTGCAGTACTCTGTCTCAGGTTAAATGCTATATAAAGAACTTACACTCCTACAGTACTTTCTCACAGGTTTGGTACTATAAATAAAACTTACACTGCTTCAGTACTATGTCTCAGGTTTAGAACTGAATATACAACTTACACTGCTTCAGTACTCTGTCTCAGGTTTAGTACTGAATATACAAATTACACTGCTTCAGTACTCTGTCTCAGGTTTAGAACTGAATATACAACTTACACTGCTTCAGTACTCTGTCTCAGGTTTAGAACTGAATATACAACTTACACTGCTTCAGTACTCTGTCTCAGGTTTAGTACTGAATATACAAATTACACTGCTTCAGTACTCTGTCTCAGGTTTAGTACTGAATATACCACTTACGCTCCTGCAGTGCTCTGTCTCAGGTTTAGTACTATAAATAGAAATTACACTCCTGCAGTACCCTGGCTCTGGTTAAATACTATATATAGAACTTACACACCTGCTGTACTCTGAGTTGGGTTGAGAATTCAAACTATAAATAAAACTTGCACTCCTGCATTACTGTCTCAGGTTAAGAGCTGAATATATAAGTTGCACTCATGCAGTACTCTGTCTCAGGTTAAGAACTGAATATATAAGTTGCACTCATGCAGTACTCTGTCTCTGGTTTAGAACTGTATACAGTGGAACCCTTTTAATGTCACTTTTCAGTTAATATAACGCTTTCTTGAAACATCAGTTTTTTACCTATATCTTCTATGTAATCCAATATCTGATAATATCATTTATTTTTAGGTGGGCAACGCTTCATTTAACTTCATTTTGTTGATTATCACAAAAAAAAACACATAGGTTAATCACAGGCAAGTGAGGGTAGGACCTATGGGTTCATGACTGAAGGGTCATATTTCACACCTGGATGCGTCATGTTAACATCGTCAATGTCCTACTGGCCAACTGTTCTCACCTTTTGACTCCCGAACAATAAATTTGACCCACTTGCCTGTAAGGTCCAGCTTGGTTGAAGGGAGTCTAGTGTGTTAAAATGGATTTTTAACTCATGTCATTTAGAACTTGTCACGATGCAACCAATGTTGGAGTTCTACTAGTTTTGTCGCGAAGGACCAAGTTGCGATCTTCAGAACACATTTTATCAAAGTTGCACAGATTCACACTGTGTATAAACCAACTTTGTGATGATACACCATTATGGGGCCTATACAGTAATGGACAAAAAAATTATACTGCAAAAACATCAGCTGATGGCACGGTAGTGTCACATATGGATCTGACCATGTGTAAACTGAATATGATATGAATTGTCATAGTTGTTCATGATAATTTATGACTGCAGTTTATATATTTCAAAGAATAAACAAATTAAAAATCTAGGAAAATCTTAGAAAAACAAATAAATTTCAAATTTATTGTCCGGAAAAATGTGTCATCTGTTTATGTCACATTCCACTTATTATCACATTTCCCCCTGACAAATGGAACATGATATTAAGAGGGTTTCACTGTATAGACCTTACACTAATACAGTTATCTGTCTCTTATATTGAAACAGGTTGTAATTGGTATGGTGATGAAATATTCTTGTAAGTGTGGGGATGGAAAATTCTCTTTTTAACTGAGTTGAATTGTTGTTATGATGAAGCTTAAACATAATTAGAATTTGACATAGGGTTCAGCAAAGACATTAGAATTTAAGCTCAGCCTGACCCCATTATTGTAAGAGTGCCTGTACTTCATGTTAAGTCTTAAGTTAGTCTAAAGCATCCACCCAAGTATTGGAAGTGCTTTGCCAAATCAAGACATGCTGCTCTGGGCATGAAGATGAAAAGCCTCAAACATTAATGACTGGTTGATATAAGCATGGTCCATATATTTGAGTTTGACTTGAGATTAAGCTCAATCTCAGAAGCTGGGCTGATAAAACAAGAGAGAGAATCAAAGTTATATCCGTCCTACATGTGAGAATTGGTGAATGGCTGTTTTGTATTCTAATGACATGCAAACTGTTTGCAAAATTGCTAATGCTGTAATGAAAATGTCATGTACATTAAGAAGAGATCAGACTTCATCGTAAGTTCTAATTTAAACACAGTTGTGCAGGCAGTAAAAAAAGAAAAACATCATAGCAAGGATAAGTGAAAAAATTGGAATTGTATTTAACGAAATCATTAAGAACTTCAAGCATTTATGATATTGTGATTTGTCCATTTCTGTCAATATGGAACCATTGATTATATAAAGTTAGAAACTTTGGTCAGACCATACATATATTTCCTAATGACTGTAAAATGTTACACAGTATCAGTATGACATGAGGGTGTATATCTCCCATTCATGTAGTTTTTCTCCTGTTAATGGAGTTATGGCCCTTTTTTGTAACATCACATAATAATTCTTGTGAAATAAATTCCTTTCAAAGTCGTAAGTGAATTCACTTCCAAATGATTATTACACATTATCACAATGTATCTCCCTTTTCACAAAAAGTACCATCCTGACATTCCCTTTTGTCATCTTTAATCTGCTGACTTTTGTTTTCCACTTTCAAACACAGAAAACATTTATTGAACCTGCCTTACAACTTTAACAGCCTTATCAAGGTTAAAGAATGGTTTTGTTACTGTGTACATTTTAAGTTTGTGATGTAGTACTCATGAAGTTATTTAGTATGATACTGCAGCAAATTCTACAAAACATCCATGATAATTTTTTTCAATATGAGCAGAATATCAATGAATCTTTTCCACAGATTGATAGTCATAACGGGAACTGTGTTATATCTGTGTGGGTGGGTTATGCAACACAACTGGTGAGACAAGACAAAAAATTGTGATTAATTGGAAATTCTCTTCTAATCAATTTTGTGCAAGGATTAGGCGAATTGCTTGAATAGTCTTCTTTAAAATCTCGAAAGTTCCATCATATTCATCTGATGGTTATGAATGTTGTTGTCGGAATAGTACTACTTTGAATTAATAAGTTGATGTGGGTATGAGAATTATGCAAATGTTTAAAAAAGACCTTGAAATATGCAAGTAGACAAATGAAATATTGGGCATTTTATTAAGGAGTTATGAATGTGTACAAATGTATTCTTTTACTTGTGTCCAGTTAATACTTATTATTGTACAGATGTAGTTATGCATTACATTCAGTCTTGTTTAATTTGTTGGTTTACTTTTTGTTTCCTGTTTGTTGACTTTTATCCTATGTGTCATACCTTGCCATTTTATGGGGTGAGGGTGAGAATATAGTATTATCCATGACTGTATGTCGCAGCTTCATATGTTCTGTCCTATCTTGTCTCATTTTATCAATCAGTGTCATATTTTGAGAACCTTAAAACAGACTTTGTTCATATTTACTCCATAAAACCATAACATCAAGTTCTAAACATCTAATTCTGGTTTGCAAAACAGAGGGAGCATTCTGATCATACAGACATTTTTTAGTAAGTTTTCAACTAGATCAGGTTTTAGTTCACATAGTAGCAGGGATATTTGAGTCTTACAGACATATTTTCTATCATATTTGTTTATTGATGGTGTTGTTTGTTGACAGTTTGTGGAGGACTATGAGCCAACCAAGGCAGATTCCTACCGTAAGAAGGTGGTCTTAGATGGTGAGGAGGTCCAGATAGATATCCTAGACACTGCTGGACAGGAAGACTACGCAGCTATCAGAGACAACTACTTCCGTTCTGGGGAGGGGTTCCTCTGTGTCTTCTCCATCACAGAACAAGAGTCATTTCAGGCTACAGCGGAATTTAGGTAAGACTTTTAGGTGTAATGGAGGAAGTACTGAATGTATGTACCAATGGTGGGGCTATATGCTGTGTTGACTTAAGACATGTATTAAATAAAGTATAACATGATGTATTGTGGGATACAACATTTCAAAATCAAGAGTTACACTCCTATTAGAGTAAAACAAAAGTGAAAAAACGGTGCCATTGGCAAGCCTCAACTGCACCTGCATGGTAACTTCATGTGAGTAAGTTTTTAAATTGTTGTTTGTTTCCATTTTTCAAAGTGATTTCTGTTACGATAAAACAGAATTTTGGCTTGTATGACAGTAAATGTGTCGTGAAACTAATAGCAACAATTGCATTACATTGGTGGCCATATTTACTGAAATATTGGCCTAATTAGATTTATATCAGAGATGCTGAACTTACATGATACTGACCTACATATATATCAGAAGCTGTCAAACATTGATAGAACTCAATGAAATGTTTCCATGGGAATAGATAAGGGTACAATTTATGGGTACCATAATCTTTTCTTTGGAGTAGATTTTGATACAGTAGGAGGCATTGTTTCATTTAGTACAATCACATTGTTTTTCTATGTTTTCTTTGTAATTGTCATGCGTTAGTATATATACTTGTTCATAGCAAACATTTGATTTAAGAAAAATAGCCGTCCTGGAAAAGTATGGATTAATATTAAAAATAAATTCACCAATACTAAAATATAAGCAAAAGAAATTTGATGTGGACATCAACATCATGTTGGAAGGTACTGAACATATCATGTTTCATGAAGGTGTCAATATTTAGTGGAATGTAACAAGGAGATGTGTACAGGTCACAACATTACTGTCAGCTCTGTTTGACAGCATTTCCTGTTGGCTGTAGTTCTGTGACACTGTCACCTGTCAGCTCTAGTACTGTGACAACATCATCTGTTAGCTCTAGTACTGTGACAACATCTTCTGTCAGCTCTAGTACTGTGACAACATCTTCTGTCAGTTCTAGTACTATGACAACATCTTCTGTCAGCTTTAGTACTGTGACAGTGTCTTCTGTCAGCTCTAGTACTGTGACAACATCTTCTGTCAGCTCTAGTACTGTGACAGTGTCTTCTGTCAGCTCTAGTACTGTGACAACATCTTCTGTCAGCTCTAGTACTGTGACAACATCTTCTGTCAGCTCTAGTACTGTGACAACATCTCCTGTCAGCTTTAGTACTGTGACGACATCTTCTGTCAGCTTTATTACTGTGACGACATCTTCTGTCAGCTTTAGTACTGTGACAACATCTTCTGTCAGTGTTAGTACTGTGACAACATCTCCTGTCAGCTTTAGTACTGTGACAACATCTTCTGTCAGCTCTAGTACTGTGACATCTTCTGTCAGTTCTAGTACTATGACAACATCTCCTGTCAGCTCTAGTACTGTGACGACATCTCCTGTCAGCTCTAATACTGTGACAGTGTCTTCTTTCATCTGTCATACTTTGACAATTGTAACCTCTCTGATAGCTGTTGTAGGGTTGAACAATTTGAGAAAATAACTAACACGGTGAATCAAGTACAGAACGTAATACAGGAGTCAGAAATATCAATTACAGTTTCAATTTGAGGCAGGCTAAAGGTTTGGATGATGTAATAAGGGAAATATGGTTAGAAGGAGAGCTAAAACATGTTACCACTCCACAAATCTGTCATCAGAAGTACAATGGAAAGTTGAGAATCGTTTTGCTCAGGCTGTGTTACCCATGGCAAAGGCATCTAGAATTTTCTGTTACAGCCCTTGGCAAACTTGTCTGCTGTTACAAGTGTAGCCTCTTAACATTTCCTTTAATAGGCAATTAATGCTTGTGACAATGCCATGTTAAGTTTACATTCCTTGCTAAGCTTAAAGTGGAAACTATTTTCTTCTGACTGAAAGATTTTATCTCAAAGTATCATATCTTTTTTCGGTAACCCTTAGAAAGTTGGAGCACCACTGATACAGACTACAGTTAATATTGTCTTAAAATGTCTGACTTGTTAGACATCTTTGTTGTCACGGAGCTTGACTGTTGTAAGTAAGTTATAAATGTAACAGGTCATTATTTATTTTAATGCCTCCACTAGGACTTGAACATGATATCCCTGGCTTGCTAGTCTGACGCTCAGCAAATCAAGCTAAAGAGATGTGCTCTCTAACCGAGCAGTATATCGTGGCTAGTATTTACCAGGGCTGCATAAATATCATATGATATTAGATTATGAACAATAAAGAACATGGACAATTATCTGAAGTTTGATTAAAATTTCTCTGGGAACAAAGCAACTAAAAGTGCTGACACCCGGCACGACAAGATGAAAGGCAAGTGCATGACCACTGCAACAGGATTTATAAGACGGCAAGATTGCAGTGTGATTATCAGAGACATGGAGTGAAAATGACAGAATAAGGAGACAGTGGGGTTATGAGATAACTTCAATGTGATTCAGGTTGACTATGAGGCAGGTTGTCAGCTGGATTATATGAAGTCTGGACTGTAGGATATCTGATCAGGAACTACGAGGCAATTCATGGAGACAGTTCCTGTCAAGTAGATTATTTCATAGTTTGATCCAGATAATGATGAATTCTTGGATAGCTAGATTATGTAATAGTTTATGAGACACTAGGTTACAAGATTTATAGGTCTTGAAGCTGACATTGCAGAATTGATCCTGAGATATCAGGATTATGACATTAACTTGATCAGTTATTGGTACATGTATGTGTTCAGTCCGACATTCTGTAACATCTCATTTAAGGCGAACAGCATGTCAGCCCACAATTAAATAAGTCAATCTTGCAAATATATATGTATTTGATTTTATTTTTGGTACATTATTTTCAATATTTCTCAACTAATTTTTTTCGCTATTTCTTTGATTCAATATAATTACCTCCCTTTGTGGTTTATACACCAGTGAGATAGAGGGATGTGATGTGATTTGAATTATAATGTCACTTGGCACCATATAGTACAAAAAGATACCACACAGATTTCTCTGTCTCATATACAAGAAAATTTGATGATCAGAATGGAATTGTTTGGACTGTTCTGTATACCAGTTGACAGGGTTTTCCATAAGAGCCGGTCGCCGGCCAATTTGACCGGCTACTTTGATCATTTGGCCGCCTACACCAATCCAGTTCCATAATAATGTTCCGTACACGACTACACGTACACAGCAGGCCAGCCTTCTACTTTCACTACATAGCCTACTACTAACAAAATTATGGAAAACCCTGAGTTGATCTGATACTTGGACAAATTGTTTCATTTATGATAAAAATTATACATGGATAAATAATCACACAATACTTTGTGTGTGATAGCATAACTAAGGAAATGCATTATAATATATGAGATACAGGTATTGTAAGACATAATCCCTCTTCTATAGACCTAAATAAATCCTAGACATCTTACTGCTGTTTTAAGTGGCTATAGATGTAAGCCATCATTGGGGTAATGGAGGCAAGTCTGCCACATCTCTAGTGGTGGAGACCACCTGTTACACAAATTTGTCTGTTTAATTAATGGCTCTTAATCACTTATTTGGGGAGTACATACCATAGTGTAGAATCATGAATTACATTTGACAGCCATTGTGGGTTGGAGTGGTAGGTGGTACCATTTGGCCCTAGGATGAATGTTTAACACACTAACAGGTGCCCCTCCACATGTCACTAAAATTGGCCTCCCACTCCACATAAATCAGAGCTTCTGTACCAGCAAAAAATCCACACTCAGGGTTTTGTTTTGGATGTCTTCAACTTTCATTTAAGGGATTGGGTTTTTTTGTGTGTGTGTTTAGGAGATGCTTTTTTTATTCAGCTGTATAAGTTGGTTGCCAGCATGTATGCTGAGAAAACTGTGATGGATAATGAAGTCTACAAGTAATATCTGTTGCATCCCTTGTATTAGGAGACTGTTAGATTAATGTTCTGAATCCATGTTGTTGTGAAATGTAACTTAGTGGGGTTGATTACCAAAAAGTAGAAAGTTCCATTGATAGAAGGTCCAATTTTGAAGGGTTTGAATCTTGAGTCTTCCCAATATTGGCTATAGGTATTGGGTTTGGTGTGTAAGATAAAGAAGAAGAGGAGATGTGATAGCTCAGACATTTTAGAACATTGGCCTGCACAACCTCAGGTGAAGATCCGAAATGTGAGGTTCGGCACTTCACACCTTTGGTAGTTTGTGTTTCTCAGGAAGCTGAGAGACCCATTGGTCTGTGATGTCTTGGTTTAGTGCTTCAGCCCATTTTCTCTGGATAGCATGTGAAGGATCTCCATTTGTTGTTCAGTGAGCAATTCTTGGAGCCATAAGCTAGGCCATAGGCTACAATTTGAAAGGGGATTCATTTTCAGATAAAAAATAAATCCGATTGTGGTTCAGGATTATTAATGGAATCAGTGTCAAATGTTGTTGATTAGCTTCTTCAGTACCAGGTGTATGTGTTTGAGCAATACTTTTACAACAATACTCTGATAACAAAATAGGATCTATAAAAAGGTTATTACTAGTGCTGGGCTGACTGACATGATGTGACTGTGAATATATTGTATCTAAAAGAGATAACAAAATATCAGGCAAAGTGAAAATTTTGTGGTACAGTGTCCTAGGTATAGGGAGGAATTACAGTGTTTTAGGCTAAGTGAATATTTTGTGGTACAGTGTCCTAGATATAGGGAGGAATTACAATGTTTTAGGCTAAGTGAAAATTTTGTGGTACAGTGTCTTAGGTATAGGGAGGAATTACAATGTTTTAGGCAAAGTTAACATTTTGTGGTACAGTGTCCTAGGTATAGGGAGGAATTACAATGTTTTAGGCAAAGTTAACATTTTGTGGTACAGTGTCCTAGGTATAGGGAGGAATTACAATGTTTTAGGCAAAGTGAAAATTTTGTGGTACAGTGTCCTAGGTATAGGGAGGAATTACAATGTTTTAGGCAAAGTTAACATTTTGTGGTACAGTGTCCTAGGTATAG